AAAAAAATGACATATGACTTACAGAGGAAGCAAAAAATTACCAAATGGCAGAAGACAGTGGAGTGACCAGCGCTGAAAGAAAACCTGTCAACCCAGAGTGAAAATCTTTGAAAATGAAGGAGAAATAAAATCTTTCTAAAAATCTGAGGGAATACATTGCCAGAAGACCTATTTCAACTAGAAATGTTAAAGGAAGTTCTTTAGGCAGAAGGAATGTGAAACCAGACAGAAGCATGGATCTGCAACGAAATTAAGAGTGTTGGAAATGGAATAAATGAAAGTAAAATTTAAAATTTAGTTGCTTTAAAATAAGTTTACAGAGGTCAGCAAACCTGTAAAGGAGCAGGTAAATAAGTTTTGCATGTCCTATGATCTCTACTGTAAGCACTTTACTGCTGTGGCACGAAATCAGTCTTAGGCAATAGATGTATCAGTATGGCTGTGTTTCAGTAAAACTATGGGCTCAGATTTAAATTTCATATAATTTTTATGTGCTACAAGTTAGTCTTTTGGCCTTTTTCCCCCTAATCATTTAAAATTGTTAAAGCCATTGGCTCATGAGCCATCCTTTAGATTGTGTATTTATAGCATATGTAAAAATAAAAAATATGTATACATATATGGTGGTATATCTGTAAAATAAAATACTGAGTAATAAAAGGAATACACTTGTGAAAGAAGACTGCGTACTGTTTGAGTCCATCCATATAAAATTCTAGAAAATGCAAATTAATCTCTAGTGACAGAATAGTTAAGTGGTTCTCTACAAGTGCAGGGTGGGGATGGGGTGCGAGAAGGGGAAGAGAAGAGATTTAAGGAAGGAAGAGATTTAAAAAACTGTAATGAAGGGGCGCCTGGGTGGCTCAGTGGGGTAAAGCCTCTGCCTTCAGCTCAGGTCATGATCCCAGGGTCCTGGTATAGAGCGCTGCATCCAGCTCTCTGCTCAGCAGGGTGCCTGCTTCCTCCTCTCTCTCTGCCTGCCTCTCTGCCTACTTGTTATCTGTCAAATAAATAAATCTTTAAAAAAAAAAAGTGTAATGAAGTGTATGACAACAACATGAAGAACGGAAGAGAGGAAATGGGAATCCAGTATTACAAGGTCTTTATTGCTGTAAATGAAGCAGGATGTTCTTTGAAGGCAAAGTTGTTAACGAGGTGTGTTGGGAATCCTAGAGGAATCACTAAAATTGGGCTTTCCACCTCTTCCTCACTCTCAGCCCAGGTTTTGTAAAGGGTTCCGCCCCTGGCTCAATAGTGGAGCATGAGATTCAGGCCAAATCAAGAAGCACATAGTGGCCACAATGACTGGTTCAGGCTGAGACCGGTGATGGTCAGAACCAGTGGGACATGTCAAGGAAATGCCAGGACAAAGACAATTCAGCTATATTTCATGGAGTCAGATGTAGAAACTACTTCAGATGTGGCACTGCCAGAGACCGGTTATGACCCAAGACCTGTTGGTGAGCACAGTCAACGGGAAGAGGTGGGCAGCTGAGCGATGGGAGACGTTGCAGAAGGGCTAGAATAGAACTTTGCAGTTACGTGAGCCAATAAAGCTTTTTGCCTGAGCTTGTTTGGGTGTGTGTGGTTTTTCAGTCACCTGCTGTGTAACAGTATCACAAATTTATCCTTCCCCAGCTCAGGCATCAAAGTGTAGATTAGCTGGGTTCTTTGGCCTGGGTCTCACTAGTCTAAAATCAAGCTGTCAACTAAGACTCTCATCGTTGTCAACTGATGGTCAGACTTCTCTTCCAAGCTTGCTGTTGGCCACATTCAGTTCCTTGTGGTGTAGGACTGAGGCCCTCCACACCTGGAGGCTGCTCCACAGACGCTACTGTGTAGCCCTCTCGCAACATGAAACTTGACTTCTCACAGGTGAACAGGAGAATGTCTTTTGCTTTGAATTCCTCTTACAGGCAAGGCTTGCACCTTCTTTTAAAGGACTTCCCCTATTTAAGTCCACCCAGGCTGATTTCCCTTCTGATTACTTCAAAGTCAACTGATAAGAGATTCGTTATGTCTGCATAATCCCTTTACCTTTGCCTTGTAACATCACAAGAGCAAAATCCCCATCATATTCACAAGTTCCGCCGCTCCAAAGGATTATACAGCCGTGTATACCGTGGAGTAGGAATCTTGGGAACCATTTTAGAATTCTGCCTACCACTGACCTGATGCCCTTTTGCCTTACATTCAGTCATGAGTCAGTTTCTGGAATATTCCATATTTTACTAGACTTCCAGGTTGTCTGACTTCTTTTCACTAGCTTTTACAATCGCCTGGTTACTTGTCTCTTCCCCATGAGAAGCTGACTACTGAATGAATATTCCTCATCTCCATTCCAGCTCACAACCTGGCACAGGTCTGGCGCTCCACAAACTTGTGTGGAAAAGTGGAGTAGATTCTTAAGTTGGGGATGAGGATTAATCTAGGTGACTTCAAAGACCACATTGATTATGAACATTCTTTTTTTTTAAGATTTTATTTATTTATTTGACACAGAGAGAGATCACAAGTAGGCAGAGAGGCAGGCAGAGAGAGAGGGGGAAGCAGGCTCCCTGCTGAGCAGAGAGCCCGATGTGGGGCTCAATGCCAGGACCCTGAGATCATGACCTGAGCGGAAGGCAGAGACTTAACCCACTGAGCCACTCAGGTGCCCCGATTATGAACATTATTTAATTCCACCTTGCTGACTACATGCAGTCCAAATTTGAGTATGGTTTAAGAGGTCCTACCTGATGCCCCATGCACATTTCTCTGCCCTCACTACTATCAAAGTCCCACTTTCTCTTTCATACTCTCTGTGCTGTAAGAACACCAAATCACTTCATTTCTAGATACGGCTTGCTTTCTTAGTTTCACAACAGTGCCTGTGCTGTTTCCTTAGCCTAGAAGTTTCTTCCCTACAACTGACTTAACAACGGTGCTACCCATCATCTATATAAACTTCGAAATCACTACTCAGGGTCTTTTTTTTTTTTTTTTTTTATCACCCTTTCCTGCCTCTCTGTGGTTGGTGTCCCTCCTTGGGCTTCTCCAACCTTCTAAGCTTCTTCCCTCTTTTCTAGAACTTGTCACCTCTTGTAAATTAAGTCCATCTCTCCCATCACCCTGAGCTGTACTGAAGAGGTTCATTATATTGGGTCCCAGCACTGGCCTGCTCTGCGTAAGGACCATGAATAGTTGTTGAACAAACAAAAGGGTTCAATAATCTCTATTTTGTGATTTGGGGTCTTTCAAGATATTCATACTTCCTGGTGTCCTGGGTCCCCTGGCAACCCAGCCTAGCAGACTGTAGCTCACCTACAGCTTCCAAGCCCAGGCCACAGGGCAATAGGTATTGCCCATCACAACACAAGAATGATAGTCTCGTTTCTGTTGGCCTGGGAAAGCTTTTTTTTTTTTTTTAAATTCTCATCTGCCTCCTAGTGCTCCTTTAAAAGAGAGTGCATGGGGCACCTGGGTGGCTCACTGTGTTAAAGCCTCTGCCTTCGGCTCAGGTCATGATCCCAGGGTGCTGGGATCGAGCCCCGCATCAGGCTCTCCGCTCAGCGAGGAGCCTGCTTCCTCCTCTGTCTCTGCCTGTCTCTCTGCCTACTTGTGATCTCTGTCAAATAAATAAAATCTTTTAAAAAATAAAAATAAAAGAGAGTGCATGGAGAATTACAAGGCAAAACGGCATTCTTGGTTAAACTATCACTTACAACTTCATGGTGAACTGTAATTAGACAATATGCTGCTCAGAGATAGGGTACCAGCCTAGGACAATAACTGGTTATCTCCACTGGGACGCCTTGAACCAGTTGCTGAGCATTTGAGGTTAGCTTTTCCCTCTCCCTTTTCCCTGAGAGCTAGCCACGCTCCCTTGTTTTACAGAGGGTGAGAGTTGGCCCAAGCCTTGCAAAGACCACACAATTTAGACCTAGAGTTGTGATGGGGAGGAGAGCAGGTCACTGTCTCATCAGCACTGCAGGCAAGAATAGAGCCGTGTGCCTGTGCCCCACACTCCATCATGAATCTCAGCTTCTGGGCTTTTCCAACATAAATTTTTACATTTATCTTTTCATGGGAAGATAGATGATAAGACAGTAAGATAGTAAGAAGGATAGATAAGATGATAAGAGCACCTGATAAGATAGGTGCTCATTTTGGGTGAATAGTCAGTTTTGTACCCTTCGAAAGGGTACAGCTCACATAACCATCTATGTGAACCCCATTTCTGGCCTTGAGCAGTGCACAACCTGCGGAGCTGTATGCGAAGGTTCTACTGAACCCTGAAGTCACCAAGTATGACGACGGGAGCTCGCGTGGGGAGGTGAAATGGAGGTAAAATCCTTGGTAAACAAAAATAATAGCTCACAGGGGCGCCTGGGTGGCTCAGTGGGTTAAAGCCTCTGCCTTCGGCTCAGGTCATGATCTCAGGGTCCTGGGATCGAGCCCCATATCGGGCTCTCTGCTCAGCGGGGAGCCTGCTTCCTCCTCTCTCTCTGCCTGCCACTCTGCCTACTTGTGATCTCTGTCTGTCAAAAAAATAAAGTATTTAAAAAATAATAATAGCTCACAATTGTGGGGCAGTTACTATATGCTTCTAAGTGTTCTAGAAACTTTCCCAATAATTCTGTGAGTTCAGTAAGTTTATCATCATCAGTATCATTTTACAGATAAGAAAAGCAAAAGAAATGGCAAAATCTGATCCTGAACACACTTATTCAAGTATGCCTGCCAGGCTCTACAGTTCGTATAGTACTCCCTGGCGCGATCCCCGCGCTCTTTCTCTCGCCTCTTAGAGCGCCTGCGCGTGTGTCCCCGCGACCGCCTTCCGCCTGGCGCAGCCGCAGGTCACGTGTCGGCGCGGGGGCGGGGCCCGCGCGGGGACGCCTGCGCGCCTGCGCGCCGCGGGCTGACCGATTCTACCCTGTCCGGCAGAGCAGGCTGTGGGTCTCGCGGCCATAGCCGCGTCTTCCTTCAGCTCTGTCACCAGCCGGGGCTCGGGCCCGAGCCCGGGCCCCCGGGACATGGCCCTCCGGAGTGCGCAGGGCGACGGCCCCACCTCTAGCCGCTGGGACGGCGGCGCGGAGAAGACAGGTACGGAAGCCTGCGGGGGCGCCGAGGAGCGACCTTCGGGGATGGCCCGAGGGGCAGGGACGGCCCTTCGGGGTTAGGCTAGAGACAGCTGTTGGAGGAGCGGCCCGGGCCGCAGGCGGCTTCCGGGGGTGGGGGTTGGGGGTGCCGCGGGCTGGGGGGCCCCGAGGGACTGCGCGGGCTGTGCCCAGCGCGGCGGGCCGGGGTCGGGACGCCGGGAGAGGAAAAGGGTGATGGGCCCGGTCACGTCTGAAAGGGAAGCGATTCTGGAGTTTGGGAGTCAGCGGATGCTGAGACCAGAGGAATCCTGCTGGCCGACTCGTGTCCCTAATGCGAAGGACGGGTGGGGGATCTGGTCCGGCTTCGTCACGTCTGGGGAGAATTGGGTCTCCCCGAGAACTGAGGCCGAGCCTCCACCCCCGACTCGAAGCTGTCCGGCCACGTCTGCACACTCCTGGTGCCTCCTCCCTAGTTGTAAGGCACGTTTCCCAAACTTCATTCATCTCTCGCCGGCTTGAATTACGCAGTGTACGTGCACCACTTATTTCTTTTTTAATTGCCATAAAAATCCAATCTTTTAAAACGTGTAGTTCACTGGTTCTTAGCACGTTTACAGGGTTGTGCAATCATAGCCAGCCACCGTCTGATTCCAGAATATTTCTAATTCCAAAAAGAAACCCCCATCACTCCCCATTCTCCAGTCTCTGCAGGTCCTGGCAACCACTAATCTACTTTCTATCTCGATCTTATGCCGTCTAATTTAATGTTACTTAATTGTGTAGAAGAAAACAATTCTGTCAGATTTTTATAGTTTCATACTCAGCAGTAATTTCTATGAAATCATGGTTGTGAAGTGTTTTTGAATGTGTTTTACATACAGCTAAAACAGGACACTTAAAATTAGTAATGTTTACTCTGTACTAGGAAAATAATCCCTTTTTCTCCTAAGATTAAGGTAGACTTCCCATTTTTCCGCCCTCTGATGGGTGTTACGCATAATAGAACCAGCCACATATGCAACCCACATTTTGGTGAAGCACCTGGTGTCCGCATCTTATTTCTCTGGGCTCATTTTCAGTTATCTTCCTTTCCTCCTACTCACTCATATTACTTCATTGGGGCCTTTGGCCTTGTAAGATAGGTACAAGATACAAGATAAGATAGATGCTCATTTTGGGTGAATAGTCAGTTTTGTACCCTTCGAAAGGGTACAGCTCACATAACCATCTATGTGAACCCCATTTCTGGCCTTGAGCAGTGCACAACCTGCGGAGCTGTATGTGAGGGTTCTACTGAACCCTGAAGTCACCAAGTATGACGACGGGAGCTCGCGTGGGGAGGTGAAATGGAGGTAAAATCCTTGGTAAACAAAAATAATAGCTCACAGGGGCGCCTGGGTGGCTCAGTGGGTTAAAGCTAATAGTTGATAGCTGATAGTACAAAAACACTATGACATCTGTCCTCATGGCATAATAGTGCCCGAAGCAGTATGGGTTTTGTGACCTGTTGTAATGTGCCTAGGTTGTGAGACTTTAACTCAGTTTCCTTGGTTTTGCTTCTCTGTGAGCAATTTGGAGATGAGAGTTTTGTTCTGCTTTTAATCATATTGGAGAATTGTTGGCAAAGTTACTAATATTGGAAGCCCTCCTTTGTAGACTTTATGATCAGATTGGTTTACTCTCTAGAATATTTTTCTTTATTGTTGGGGTAAAGCAGTTTTTTGTTTTGTTTTTAAGTAGGCTCCACAGAGCCCAACAGGGGCCTCGAACTCACCACCCTGAGATCAAGACCTGAACTGATATCAAGAGTCGGATGCTTAACTGACTGAGCCACCCAGGCGCCCCAAGCAGTTTTTCTTAATACATGCTTGTCTTCATGTTTCAGGTAGTTAATGGATCTCTGCTAATTTAGATACTGTTTGTTGAAACTAATTAGGACTTCCAGAAACAGAGGTTACTTTATTTTGTTTTTAGTAGGAACCTTACTCCAAGTAAGGTAAGGCTTTCCTCTCCCACGGTCTTTATCTGGTACAGGTATGAAGTTCAAACATAAAATTTTAAGTTAGTTTCCAGTGTCAGCATTACGAGTTCAAGGGATAGGACAGGAGGTGTCTGTTTGAGGGAATCTCTCTCCCCTCTGGCTGGGTCTTCCATTGTTTTGATTTTGGCCAACATTGGTTGGTTTCAGTGTAACTTCTGTTGAAAGACTGTAAAGCTTTCTCTGGGTGCCTGACTGGCTCAGTTGGTGGAGCATGCAACTCTTGATCTCAGGGTTGGGAATTCGAGAGAGTAGTAATTTACTCAAAAATTTAAAAAAAAAAAAAAAAATACAGAGGACTCTAAAGCTTTCTTGATGTGTAAGCTTAAACCAAATAATCAGTATGGAATTTTGTACTCTCACATAAGATTTCATTATTAAGTGTGTAGATAATATGTATTTTGCTGATATGGAAAAATCTTTTTTTTTTTTTTAAGACTTGTTTATTTATTTTAGAGGGGGAGTGGCAGAGGGAGAGACTCTTCAAGCAGACTCTGCACTGAGCCAGAGCCAGATGCAGGCCTCAGTCTCATGACCCTGAGATATGACCTGACCTGAAACAAAGAGTTGGACACTTAACTGACTGTACCACCTAGGTGCTCCTGGAAAAACTTTTAGAGGATTTTGGCTAAGGTCGTGAGATCAAGCCCCATGTTGGGCTCCCCGCTCAGTGGGGAGTCTGCTTGACATTCTCTCTCCTCCTCTTCCTCTGCCCATTCCCTGCCCCCTTCCATGCACACACTCTAAATCAATCAGTCAGTCAGTCAGTCGGTCAGTCTTTAAGAACTTGATGCATCTTATAAACAAACATTAGACCTGTTAGGTGCTATGCTAACAGAGGGAATTGAGGGTTGATTTTTTCATGATCTCTGGGTAGAGTTACCATTTAACTTAACATCCAAGCTGGGACTTTTCTGAGAGTGCTGTTAGCAGGAGGGGTTTACTGTGGATAATTATGCCAGGACTATAGACATAAACCAAGAATCTCTCAAACTGGAGCAGGGGGTCACCCTACTCGGTTACCAGGGAAAGTAACAGTCTAGCCAGGAGAGCAGGTTTACCTGGGTGAAGAGTCACCTGTGTTGTATTTCTGTCTGCACCTCTGGGTGCGTGTGACTCCTGGCCAGTGATGCCTCTGTGTGGTTTGTATGTCACCGCTGGCATAGGTAACCAGGACCATTAGTACCAGCTTTCATGGTGTTAATAATGTGTGTCTTGGTGATGGAAACAATTCGTCTCAGAATAGACTGTTACTAAGGAAGCTGCTTAAGTGACCCTTCTAAAGCCCAACCTTCCTGCCAGTGTTACCTTCCCCTTAACTGGATTGTGCACCTTCTTTAAGCTACATCAGTATTTCTCAAATGAGTCTTTTTCCTGTTAGATGAAAGGACCATGTGTTTCTTGGATCCAAGTCTAGCTTTTGCTCCCTACCCCACCACCTGCCTCTTGAAATGCCCCCTTCCTTTTGAAATTGCACTCTTCAGTAAGGCATTCTCAAGTTAGCCTGACCTCCAGCAGCCTCTTTGAGCTCTTGGTGTCCACACATCCCTTTTTTGGGGCAGTTATACTACATGGTATTGTAACGTCTCTTTGGTATTGTCTTGTTTAACTTTTATTGCATTTGCTATTCCTAAAATTAGATATACCACATTAAACTGTGAAAGCATATTAACATATTATTTTCGATAGAAAAATTACCATAGGACATACATCAACCACAGACTTTCAGCCAATTTCCTAAAAAGGAGTTTAAACACAGTAAAATGTTAGTGTATAAATCACAAACTATCACATAAGGACATAAGATGCTTAAAACATTACTTTCTGCACGCCCTTAACTCACATGATCTTCGAGAAGCAGTTGCTCTGTGTGCACGACATGCTGCCCTTAGCACCAGCCGCTCTGGAGACCCAAATACAACCTTCAATATACTGCTTTTGAAATTATCTCTATGTAGGGGTGTCTGGCTGGCTCGTTTGATAGACCATGCAACTCTTCTTAATCTCTAGGTCATAAGTTCAGGCCCCACATTGGGCGTGGAGTCTCCTTTTAAAAAAAAAAAAAAAGAAAAAATCTCTCTGTAATTTTGATGTTACCAGTTGTGTTAGCATGTAACTGGAGAATTTTTTCTCACAGGGTTTTAAAAGTATTGAATTTTGGTGGCATGTATATAAACAACAGGAAAAAAATTTTATATAAAGACATATGTCTGTTCTGTGAAGTTTGTTACTAGGAAAGAACAAGCATTTTATTCTATTCCAAAACATTAATAGTGTCAGATATGCCTGAATTCCCTGAGTGTTTATTATCATTGTAATTCCTTTCTCGTTACTTATATGGCATATCTCCTTAGTGTTTTGCACATTATGCACTAATTACAGATCTGTAGGTCAACTTTAAAAATGCCTACTTGTACCTCAAACCAAATAAGGAGGTTGAGCCCAGCACAGAAAATGCATACATGCTGAATATGCACCTGATGCCTTTTCCCTTTTGTTTTGCAGACTTGAACGCCAAAAAGAAAAAGAAAGTGGCAGAGATATACCAGGCTCTGGACAGTGACCCCACCGATGTGGCTGCCCTTAGACGCATGGCTATCAGTGAAGGAGGGCTCCTGACTGATGAGATCAGGCAGAAAGTGTGGCCCAAGCTCCTCAATGTCAACACCAATGACCCACCTCCTATATCAGGTAATGGTGAGGGGTGGTTCTGAGGGAAACTTGTCTAGGACACAAGGATAAAAGATTCCAGGGGGCACCTGGGTGGCTCAGTTGGTTGGGCTATCTTCGGCTCAAGTCGTGGTCTCGGGGTCCTGGGATCAAGCCCCACATTGGACTCCTTGCTCAGCGGGGAGGCTGCTTCTCCTCCCTCTGCCTGCCACTCCCCCTGCTTGTGCTCTCTCGCTTGCTCTCACTCTCTCTCAAATGAATAAATAAAATCTTAAAAAAAAAAAAGAATTCCAGGATCTTTGATTTTTATACTCATTTTAAGCTAACAGTAAATGAGTAAACCTAAAGCAATTTAGAACGTGTTTGGGCCCACTCTAAAACTGATAAGTAGAATTTTCTTCAAAAATTGGAATGAGCTTTTATTAGGTTGATCAATAGCTTTTATTGGCTAGGTAGGGGAGTTTATTATTCCAGGTTCTGTATTCACTTAGAGGTGGGTTATAGGAAACCTGTATTTTAACAAGCTCCCCAGCTAATGCTGGTGCAGATGAACTCATTTTGAGAAACACTGGTTCATGGGAAGAGAGAATACGTCTCTGGTCCCTAAGCAAAACAAAACAAAACTTTTTTTTATTGGGGAAATACTAAGATCGTCTTGAATTCTAAAGTTCTGCAATAGTATGAGAAGCTGTTACTAGGGGACCTGGGTGGCTCAGTCAGCTGGGAGTTCGACTCTTGATTTCCCCTCAGGTCTCAATCTCGAAGTCATGGGATCGAGCCCCATGTGGGGCTCTGTGCTCAGTGGGGAGTCTGCTTGAGATTCTCTCTCCCTCTTTCTCTGCACTTCCTCCCCATGTGCTCTTGTGCACATTCTCTCTAAAATAAATACATAAATCTTTAAAAGAAAAGAAAGGCTGTTACTTAACTGTTTGCAAGGCCCATGAGAAAGCAGTTCTTTGGAATGTAGTACAAAATACCAAGAAAGTATGGGAGAGCAGTGAGTCCACTTTGTCATTCATTCACCCAACAAACATTGATTGCTTTCCTGCTATGTATGGCCAGAGTCCAGGTGCTGGAGCTTTCACTTGTGTGGCAGGTACTGGTTGTGCTCCTGTTGTGTGCCAGGTGCTACACGCGAGTCCCACAGCCTCTGCTGATGTGCTCAGGGCCCTGTTGGGCAGCCCAGTAAGTGTTTGGCTGTTGGAAACCGGCTGCATCAGAGCAGTCAGCCTTCAGTTGGAAGGAAAAGATGTTGCCACTTTTCACACTCTAAACCCTGAGATGATGTTCTTCTGTCAGATTCCAGACTTTCCAGATCTTTAGAAGATGAAGTCTGTATGCGAGGAAGTGTTACGCAGGCTCCTCTGGGAGCTTTGGATTTGGGTTGTGCTGGAAATGTGCACCTGTTAGATAAGACTGGGTTGGGGTTGAGGGAAATGTACACCGGTTCCATTTTCAACAGCTAGAGACTGCCGCCTCACTTTCACACTGCGCTGGACTTCCCCGCCGAGCACAGGCTCCTATTTGCAGTGTCTCAGTTTTTAAATTTCAGGGTCAAGAGAGATTACATTCTTCTTTGTGTGAGTGTATCTTAGTGCTCCTTCCTGAACAGCTCAGCACTCCCCAGGCTGCACAGATGTTCGGGTTTCCCGGGGATCTGTGCTTTCGGCATTCGTGATCTCGTTTGATCAGCGTAGTCACCTGAGAGGTACATAGGAAGGAAATAGCCCCATTTTACCCACGTGGACGTTGAAATTCAGAGCAGTCCCCCAGTGACACGCAGGAGCAGCCTCCAGTAGGCCCCTGGCTTCCTGACTTCTCTGCTGCTCCTTCCGCCTCACCCCGAACAGTGTGCGTCCCTCTTCTTATGGTCGCTGTGACTCGAATGAAACAACCTGTGTGGAAGGATCTAAGCTGGGGATTCCTGGTGTCCCGCCCTCTTCAGGAAAAAGCTGAAGGATGTCCTCCAGGCCCGTGATGCCACACGAGAACATTTCTGTCCCTGATCTGGCTTCCCAGACATTCCTGCAGTAACGTGTTCCTTCTCCTCCCACAGGGAAGGACCTTCGGCAGGTGAGCAAGGACTACCAGCAAGTGCTGCTGGACGTCAGGCGCTCCTTGCGGCGCTTCCCGCCTGGTGAGAAGCGCCCTCAGTCCCGCCACCTGGGAGTTGCTGTCCCAGCTTTGCACACGTCCTCATGCTGCTGCTTCTGTCAGGGCCCACAGTGTGACCTCGAGGGGGCCCCTGCCTCCTCAGGGGCCCTTTGTACTCTCAGTCTGCTGAAACATTTTCTCACCGGCTCGCTCACGTTCAGACCCCCACCATGAAAGCCTGGCTTAGAGTGATTTCTCTTGGCCTAGAGGTGGTGGATGAAAGACCTAGAGGCTTTCCCCCCTTCAGAGCCACCGAAGAGACTCCATAGGGACTGCTAGGGCCATCATCGGCCTTAAAGAGCAGATGGGTTTACAAGGGGGCACTAAGAGGTATTATACCTTCATTTGATTAGATGTACAGATAGGGATATCTTACCTATGCCTCTGTTGGGTCCCTGGACCAGAAGGGAGGCCATTCCCTGCACGTTTTAAGGGTCTGAAAAAATCACTTCCCATTCCAGGAAACTTGAGAATGACCCACTGTTGTCTCCATGTTCACAGCGAAGGAAGCTGGGCAACAGACCTCGTGTTTATGATCCATTTCTCTTCCTTTGGCAGCCTCACCTTTGTTGAGGTCAATGAAGAAAGGAGGATTGCTAAAGGGGACAGGAGCTTCTAAACCCATTGCCTCACTCTTCTGAAACCATGCTCTGGCTTGGATTTTGCCTCTTAAATCTTGCCTGAGCCCCTGCTCGTGATTCCTGTGTAGCCAGTAGCCTGCCCACTTGCTTTTGATAAAAATGTCTGCCCATGGCCCAGTCCTCTTTCCCTCTCCTGCCGGTTTGGATGAGACCATGCAGGCAGGTGCCCTCGTTTCCCTCTAGGTAACCTGCTTTTCCTCTGAACCCTTTCTTCCTCTTCCATTTATGGAACATCGGTCTGTGAGGTTTGCTGTGTGGGCTGCACTTTCCATGTGGTTTCATATTCTTCCTACGTCCATGTTCTTTTGAGCTCAGCTAACCTCTCTTACTCTGAAAATTCAAACAGAGTTTAGTCTTGTTCTCTTACCACTTCGGTTACTTTCCCTAACCATAGTCGTTAACTCCATTTTCTTTTAATTGGGTCTTTTAGAGGAAGCTTTTTTGAGAAGGGGTTTCCAGATATGTCTTAGATCAAGATATATTCCTGTGATTCTCAGTTTGGGTTAGAGGAAAACATGCAACTCTTATTTTTCTTATTTTTATATAATTTCATACCCATAGGAAAGTTGCAAAAATAGGACAAATAATTCCCTAGATGCCTTTTATGCAGATTTCCTTATATGTTAAGGTTTAACTGTATTTGCTGTATTGCTGTAATATTGCTTTGTCTGTCTCCTGTACACACACACACACACACACACACACAGACACTTTTTTTCCTGAACTATTTAAGAATCAGTTACAGACATGGTGTCCCTTTACCCCTAAATATTTCAGGGTGTGGTTCTTAAAAACAAGGCTCTTAAGGGTGCCTGGGTGGCTCAGTGGGTTAAGACTCTGCCTCAGCTCAGGTCATGATCTCAGGGTCCTGCGATTGAGCCCCGCATCGGGCTCTCTGCTCAGCAGGGCGCCTGCTTCCCCCTGTCCCTCTGCCCGCCTCTCTGCCTACTTGTGATCTCTCTCTCTGTCAAATAAATAAATAAAATCTTTTAAAAAAACAAAAGAACCAAAAAACAAGGCTCTTACGATAAATCAGCAACACACTGAAAACCACTGCTACTAACGTGTAGGTTTTATTCAGGTCTCACCCTTCACTGCTGTAAAGTCCTTTAAAGGAAAAGGCTGTACGAATGCAAGCAGTTCCCATTCAGTCATTCCCTCTCATTAGCCTCCTTGATCCTGGAGAAGTTCCTCTGTGTTTTATGGCTTGGTTATTTTTACCAAATTTCCCTCAGTTTGGATTATGTCATGCGCATACTTGGGCAGGTGCCTGCCGAGAGGCAGCCCCCAGCAGCGAGTTGTTTTCAGGGCGCCATGTGAGGGGGCACACACGGGCGGGTGGTCTCGTGCCCGGCACTGTCAGCCTCGGCAGCGGGCTGAGGGGGCGCCGGTGGTCCCCCCCTCCGCCGCCCCCGTGGCTCTTTCCCATATGCGAGTAGTGTTGGCGGGGCAGGGGTTTTCGTATGTGCTGCCTGGCTGTTCATAACTCCTCCTTGGCGGATCGTTTGCTGACTGTCTTCCTCCCCTCCCTGGTAGGCTGCTTGTGGTGTTCAGGCGCATCTCCCTCCCCCCCGCAGGCATGCCGGAGCAGCAGAGAGAGGGGCTCCAGGAAGAGCTGATCGACATCATCCTCCTGGTCCTGGAGCGCAACCCCCAGCTGCACTACTACCAGGGCTACCACGACATCGTGGTCACGTTCCTGCTGGTGGTGGGCGAGAAGCTGACGGCCTCCCTGGTGGAGAAACTGTCCACCCACCACCTCAGGTACCGGCGCAGGCAGATGCGAGGCTGGGGCTCAGTCCTCGGCCCATTTGCTCATCCGTGTTTCCAGAGGCGGGAACCCCGTTCTACCCACTCGGCCCTGATCGGAGCATTTGATCTGACCGAGCTCACTGAATTGTCTCCATCCAGGGACTTCATGGATCCAACAATGGACAACACCAAGCATATATTGAACTATCTGATGCCCATCATTGACCAGGTGAATCCCGAGCTGCATGACTTCATGCAGAGGTACGTACACGTCTCCACTTTTTTTTTTTTTTTTTTTTTTTTTTTTACAGATTTTATTTATTTGACAGAGAGACACAGTGAGAGAGGGCACACAAGCAGGGGGAATGGGAGAGGGAGAAGCAGGCCTTCCACTGAGCAGGGAGCCCAATGCAGGGCTGCATCCCAGGACCCTGGGATCATGACCTGAGCCAAAGGCAGATGCTTAATGACTGAGCCACCCAGGCACCCCCCGTACGCATCTCCACTTAGGTACATCCGTGCACATGCGCACCCACACCCATTTGACTCTCTCTGGGCCCTGGTCTCTTCTTCACAAGTCCAGCTCTATCTCACTGCTCTCATGTGTTGACTAGTGTTAAGTTCTTTCAAGTTGTCCTTTCTGTTCACCAGCGAGCTGGATAATTCAGTTCTGTAGAGTCTGGGAGCACTTTAATGGGTACTGTGCTCGTGGGGGCGGAATATGCAAGATGTCACAGCCCTTGAGGAGGTCACATCTGGGGGTGGAGGGAGGTGAGTGTGCCGAGGTGGACTTTGAGGTTATTGCTGCAAGAGAAGGACATACTACTGTAAGATCCCGAATTAAGAAGGACAAGGCCGTCTGTCGGTTGTTTTATTCTCCAGGGTCCAAGGAGAAGAAATGCTTCTTTGCAAATCTCATATGATTTCTTTTTTGTTTTGTGTAATTAGAAATTAGTCCTTGGCCAATGCCTCACCTCCCCCTCCCCACTTTTTTTAAATAATGTCTTTGTCTTAAGATGTTTCAATCATCTCATGGTAACAATTAATACAGTTGTGTCTTTAAGCCTGAGAATATGTGCCTGTGTCTGCCAAAAGGATATAGGACTTTCTCAGAAAGAAAACCATGGTATTCTGTGAAAACAGCTGCTGTTGCTTCCTGTAATTGACATCGGTTGGGCATTAGGAAAGCAGCCAGCGAAATAAGGCAGTCAGGACCCCATCGTAGTTTTAGTGTCATGATGGTGGGTATGTTTTGAGGATTTTGTATTTGGTGAGAAGATACTGAATTCCTATGGGGCTGAATTTTCCAGAAAGTGTGTTTCCGAAATTCTTCCTTCTCATGAGCACTGAGGACAAAGATGCTCCAGGGAGCGGGAAGGGACAGCCCATCGGGGAATCTAACATCTGAATTTCCTTGCTCCTAGTGCTGAGGTAGGAACCATCTTTGCCCTCAGCTGGCTCATCACCTGGTTTGGGCATGTGCTGTCTGACTTCAGGCACGTCGTGCGGTTGTATGACTTCTTCCTGGCCTGCCACCCGCTGATGCCCATTTACTTCGCAGCCGTGGTATGTACAGTCCATAGGCCAACACCTAGGTTCACCATCACCTATTCCAGCTTCATTGTTTTCCCTCAAGGGAAACCTGGTGATTACGGGAAGGTGGGAGAAAGATGGCATTTCCCAGACTGACCCCCCGGACACCACTCTGTGCAATGTGAATGAGCATCATGGGGAAGGATGAGGCCCTGTGTAAAAATAGGATTGGGAAATACTTGGCTAAACCAAGTTAAAGAGATCTGTTTCCTGCATGATTCTTCAGAACCTTTAAAATGCTCGTGCGTGTTACGAATTGTCCGTGTTCTTCTCGACCTCTCCCGAAACTAGTAGAGACTGCCGGCTGCAGGCCAGGGAGGGAGGAGGTGCGCCACGACGGGGGAGCACTGACAGGGCTTGGTGGGGTTCCAGTTCTTAGGACGGCCTGAATCATGGAGGTCAGGGCGGAGGTGGGAGCGCATGGACACCCTTCAGGGCTTTTGAAAGGGGAGCAAGATTGTTCTTTCTGCTGCTTTGAACCATTCTTTTCTGTGTGGGAGCTCCAGGAGTCTCCCTGTGATCCCTTTCCTTTTCTTCCTCCTTAAAGAACCTCCTGCATTTCATTGGTCAGCCTTCCACATCCTGGGGTGGAAGTCTGCCTGTAGCAGGAAGGGCCAGCCCCCTGGGAAAAGCCCCCTGGGAAAAGCATGCATACATTATTCCTTTGTAGCTGGATGCAAGAGTCTGCCATCTTACTGATTTAAATTCCTCTTTAAGGAGAAGGACGTGTAAGTGGCGAAGGCTGTGCGTGGCCCGATCTCTGATGCAAGGCCTTGCTCCCCACAGATTGTGTTGTATCGAGAGCAGGAAGTCCTGGATTGTGACTGTGACATGGCCTCGGTCCACCACTTGTTGTCCCAGATCCCTCAGGACCTGCCCTATGAGACGCTGATCAGTAGAGCCGGAGACCTGTTTGTTCAGTTTCCGCCGTCTGAACTGGCTAGGGAGGCAGCTGCCCAACAGCAGGCCGAGAAGTGAGTGGGGCTGAGGCTCTGGCCAAACTGGGGGTGTCTGTGAATGAGCAGAAGTGGTGGGGGATGGTGTCTGCGGGGTCAGGGCCGGGGGATAGTTCCAGAGCTCTAAGCTCAGGCCCGAGGAATCCCTCTGGGTCTTCATGGGTCTCTGTCAAGGAGAGCCTCTGAGCAGCAGCAGCTCTGCCCTCAGCCTCTGTAAGGATCTGTTGTTCTTTCCTTTTCTTCCTTCATAGTGTTTCCTTCTTCTGTCTCTCCGCCCCTGCAGGACGGCTGCCTCTACCTTCAAAGACTTTGAGCTGGCGTCCGCCCAGCAGAGGCCTGACATGGTGCTGCGGCAGCGGTTTCGGGGACTCCTGCGACCTGAGGACCGAACGAAAGACGTCCTGACCAAACCGAGGACCAACCGCTTTGTGAAGCTGGCGGTGATGGGGCTGACTGTGGCGCTTGGAGCGGCCGCCCTGGCTGTGGTGAAAAGCGCCCTAGAGTGGGCCCCGAAGTTCCAGCTGCAGCTGTTCCCCTAGAGGCCGGGGAGGGCGCGTCCTCCTCTGGCAACTGAGGTCTCACCCTTCCATGGAAGGATTGGGAGGGGGTGGCATTTCCTTTATTAAAAGGGTTTCTGTCAAGGGTTTTCTCTTCCTGCCCAGCCCCCCCCCACCTACCTGCCCCTGGTCCGCCTTCGGTTCAGAGGCTGCTGGCACCTGGCAGCTGCCCCCGGTGGGACGACTCCTTCCCCGCCACCTGCTCCCCGCACTCCCCACCAGCGCCTCTGGGAGGGGGGCGCTGTGGGTTAAGGGAGCTGCCAGCTGCTGGGGAGCCCGCCGGGCCTGGTTACTGGGGACCCTCTTGGCAGCCCTGTAGTGAGTAAGTGGGGCCCCCAAGCGCCTCCTGTTCTGTCTGCCGCTGGGCTGAGGGGGCAGGAGCTGGACTGGAGGCGAGGGACAGAGGCTGCTAGCTGGGAGTAAGGTCGGCCCCTCTCGAGAGCAGCTCCATTAGCTGGTCAGAAATCAGACAGATGTGAACTAGGTTACTAGGTAAATCCGACCTATTTTCAGCCTAGAAATCGCTTGGGCATTCCCAGTCAAACAGGAAGGAATGTGAGGTTGTAGGCCACATTGCCTGCCTTCTTTTTCCTCCCTTTTCTCTCCCACAAGCCACATGGTGTTGCTCTTAAAGGACACTTTTATTACTATTTTTAGAATTACATATGCCCAACACGTAAGGTACCCTCACTCTAAAAATGATAGTTCCTTCACGGGAAGAATAGTCCTCATCAGCAAGATGAGCTTCTAAGGCCCTGAAGTTTCCTTTCTGCTCAACTGTTGAACATCTCACTCGAGCTAGAGCTTCTGTGTGTCACAAGCCCCACAATTCCAGAGCGCCCCCAGGCCTGCTCTCCTTCCTCTTCTCCTCAGACCACTGTTCTCCTCCCAAGTAGGCTCCCACTCACTCCTGCCTTGGCTTCGTTGGGGGGATTCACTTTATCTCCTCAACTGCTGGTCTCTCCTTCCTGGTTGGAAATGTCACTGGAGACTTGTCAGCCACCAGAAGGGACACGCTGCATCCTGAAGAGCGCAGGAGAGGCCGAGACCAGCCAGCCCCTGCCCCAAGCTTCTGGAGGAGTCTCCAGGCCTTAGGGGACAAGATGGATCATTCAGTCCTGGCCAGCTTTTCCTGTAAGCGAAACCAAGTTTGTGTGCGACGAGCGCTGGCTTGAAAAAAAGTGCCTTTCGCTGCTTTAAAGAATTGAGGTGTGGAGTATGAAGCAGCCATGTACTTTCATTTTCCTGTCTCTTGGGCACTGTTCTCTTGGCAGGTGTTTTCTTAAAGTGAATGTGCCAGAAGTCCTCTCCCTTAGCAGCTCCAGACTGCAGAGTGGAGGGTGTTTAGTACGCTGGGCAGCCGGCAGCCCAGAGCTGTGAGCGCAGGTGTCTCCGCCACGTCACGTGAGTGACGCTAAGCACTTTAATACCAAAGGTTAAAGTGAGGGGTCATTTTCTGTAGCGGGAGTCCCACTTGGGGTAAGTGTAATGTGGATGGATTCTTCTAGACAGTGGTGGAATCATGAAGACAGAGGAAGTTGTTCCAGGACCCAGAGGTGGTGATGCAGCAGGGAGTCCCAGTCTTCTTCCCCAGCAGGTTTGTCCCCTTATCACCTTTACAGATGGACAGCAGCATCGCGCCTCCTGCCCAGCCCTGGGGCCTGTCTGTAAAGAGTAAAGGGGTTGTTGGGGAAGAGGGAAGAAGGGGCGTGAGATCAGGCTCCCGGGGCCACAGCCTTCGGATCCCAGAAAGCAAGTGGCACAGGCTTCTGTTGTAGCCTAAGGAGGGGGTTCATTTGTTTGGTAGCTTTGCTGACATCAGGATTCTCCCTGCCAATGAGAAGAAAGCATTATCCTTTTATCTTCAGGTGGTTTACTATTCTGTAAAGAATATCTGTAAATATTTTGTACAGAGCCCTGTATAAAATAAACAGCCATATGTGGTTACTAATCAATCTCCTGACATTTCCGTCCTTGTGCTCCCCCACCTCCCACCCCTGGCCTGGGACTGCGCTGGAGTCTAGGGACTTCAGTTGGCCTTGACTTACCTGGAGAGCTTGGGGAACACCTGCAGTCCTGTTTCTGTTTCACCTGCAAGAGGTATGACCTACACACTCCAGGTGCTGCCCGGGGGCACTGGTCCCAGTTAAGCAGCACAGGTGACCTGGGACATTTGTCTGGGGGGATCTTGCCTGTTTTCCACATATTTCTGGAGATGCCTTAGGCTCTAAAGGCGGACGTTTGGTTTGGGAAGGTAATCCAAGTCTGATGTGAAAGCAACTTTATCTCCACATGTAATTGCCTCCTCAGAGGAGGTGTTGAGAGCTGTTCTAGCCAAACTCTACCAACACCTCTTAACACTGCCAGCCGTTGGACAGCGGGAGCCCAGGGCAGTACCAAGTGGCGTCCACCTTAAGCCTGGGGCCATCTCGGAGGCATGAACCCGTGTTGTCCAGGACGTTTATTGGTGCTTCCCTGGCCCAGAGCAGAGATGGGAGCGCGCCCAAGCTGGACAGGCATCACGCAGCTCTTGGGCCATGTCCCACCACCACAGGCCAGCCCCCGTGCTGTCCCTTGACCTGACACTCCTGACCACAGCTGGGGTGGCGGAAGGGCTGGTGTGTCACTTCCTGGCCTCGTGAGGTGGGGATCAGCCCCTCCCACACCGGCAGCTTCATGAGCAGAGGTGTGTGAGCACGTGCGAGGGCTTTACTTCCATTTCAGTGAACGTTTACTGGTCCATAAATGCCGCTAGTCAGCCCCACGCCAGGGGGCCCCGCCAGGCTCATCCAGGGATTACGTGGGGACTGCAGGGAACAGGCCAGAGGCTTTTGCCAAATGCCACCAAGAGGTGACGGGCCCTGAGGCTCAGCCTGGCCTGCTCTTCTTCCCCGTCTTGCATCCCCTCATCCCCTTACCCCTCGCCCTTCTGCTGTGTCTCCTGCTGCCTTTTCCCCCCGTCCTTACAAAGGCCCTCTACTCGCTAGTGGTCCTCCAGAGGTACAGACGGTTGGAATTAGCCCAGCAGCCTCCGTGAGCCAGTGAGGTTGTGGGCTTGCCTCCAACTTCCTGCCTTTGCAGTGTGGGGCTTTCGTGTCAGCCCCAGACACGAGAGGAAGACCTGCCAGCTTCGGCAGGGGCTGGGCAGCCCAACCTCCACGGCCACCCTTGCCAGCAGCAGCTGCTCTCATCGGAGCAGCAGGCTTCCACTCACCGTCTCCTGCCCCAGGACGGAGGCTATCCTCCACGTCTGCAGGTTCCTCTGGCTGCTTGCTCAGGTGGGTAGCTCCAGTCCAAAGCCCGTGGGGTTTGGTTTCCAGCCTGCCCTGGTGAGTTTGCATGGGGCTTTCAGCAGTCTGGGCCTCCTGGAGATGGGCCGACCCCTTGAGAGAGGGAGGTGCCCCCACCCGATCCAACATAGAGAGCCCTTGAGGCCCGCCCGTCCTGGCTCCTTCACCCACTGGCGTGTATGTCTGGTGCTGGAGGCAGAACCTGGGAGCCCTGCACCCCTCCATTTGTACTCCTGACCCTCTGCTTGGCTGCAGCAGACTCAAACTCTTGGACTTCCTGGCACAGTGGCCGGGTGAGCGGAGCTGCACAGCCCCCGGGGCCTGTCTTGTCTTCATTTTTGATACAGCCGTGGGGAAAGACAGACCCCATTAGTACCTCTTAATGCTACTGGACAAAGAATGGTACATGGCCCCGGGAAAGGCCACAGCGTGGGGCATACTGGGGGTGAGGACAGGGGTGAACCGGAGAGCCAGTCACGACTGTGGTCCAGTCCTGACCTATGGAAACGAGGACCCAGGGTTACAGGTGTCGTCTCTTTCAAGAGACGCTGGGCATCTAGGCTTTAATGTAGTATCTCTTAATTTAAAATCATTGACAACCAATTCAAATTTCTAAAATACCGGGTAGACTGGTTACAGCCTGTGGCTCGTCAGTTCATCCCCTCTGCATTAAGAGGATGGTCTCTGCTTAGATCTTGTGCCCGGGCCCCCAAGGGCCAGCCCTCGGCAGGATGGGGGAGGCGCTGGGGACAGAACACCTCCCACCCCCGCTGGGGCCCATCTCACTCTCCTGCAGCCAGGCTCCCCTTAGCATGTTCTGTTTCCTCCCAGGCAGGGGCTCTGTCTGACCCTTTATTCCTCCCAGGACAGGGAGGCCGGCAGAACACAAAGCACTCATGTTCTCAGACATCTCCGTTCCCAGCGTCTTGTGTCAAGTCTTTTTTTTTTTTTTTTTTTTTAAAGATTTTATTTATTTGACAGAGAGAGAACGCAGGCAGGGGAATGACAGGCAGAGGGAGAGGAAGAAGCAGGCTCCCCGCTGAGCAGAGAGCCCGATGCGATGCGGGGCTTGATCCCAGGACTCTGAGATCATGACCTGAGCCGAAGGCAGTTGCTTAACCAACTGAGCCACCCAGATGCCTCTGGGGTCAACTCTTGAGTTCTGTGTTTCAGGGATGGGGTGGCAGTGCCTATCCAGGGACTGGAATGACCCCTGCCCTATCGCCTATCCCCAGCCAAAGCCACATAACCCAACTTCTGGAGCCTGAATCCAGCCAGGCCTTGAGAGGCAGAGACGCCCTCTGCCTGTGGTGATGGTGACCCACATCGAAGCTCAGATACGTGTTCGCCATTAAATACCAGATCTCAACAGGGAAAAGGGGTTGGTGAGAGAAGGCAGCAGAACTTTCAGAATGGACACCCATCACCATGCTTTCTTCATCTCTGACCAGCGGAGTGATGATGGGTAAATGCTGCTGCCCCCACACTGTGCCATCTTGCCTGAGGTATTAAACGAGTTTGGCCAGGCCCCCCTCGCCCTGCCCCTCAACTGTAGCAGCTTCATGTGTTCCTGAAAGATCGCTGTCCAACCCTGGACATCCACTCAGGGGCCCCAAGTCTGCAGCAAGGCTGGCCTGCCGTCTGGTCGCTGCCTTGTCCCGCTCTGCCCGGTGGCCCATCTGCAGAGCCCACTTCCTCGTCCCGGGACATACTGCAAATTGCCCGTCCAGGGGGTTGCTGACTCAAGAGCATGCAGCCCCTCCAGTGGGCACAAGGGTGCCCAGACCAGAGCAAGGATCCCTGTGCAGGTCACACCCTGCTCCACCATGGCCAGGGGCTCCCTGACCCTGCCCCGGTGCCCACAGAACTCACTGTCCTGCCCATGTGCAGGGGACCGGCCATGACGCTTTCACGCCCTCTCACGACATCATACTCATCCCTTTCTGGAAAGCCATTTTAATTAGTTCACACAGGCAGCAAAGGGGGAGACCCAGAAGCTAAGTCTGACGGACCGTGCTTCAGACAGCACCAGGTCTCCCCATGTCTCCGAACGGGCTTAGCAGCAGCTGTGAGGCCCCAAACCTCTGACAGCAAAGACAGGAAAGTCAGCCCCAGAGAGCTGACAAGGAAGTGGTGGGCTCTGGGTGCTCCGCGTTCAGCAGATGAGGGCGGGGGAAGGGCAGAGTGTGGGCTCACATGGGGCTCTCAGAGGCTTCATCCGGCAGGGCTGTGTTTAAGTCTGTGTCAGGCAGAGGGAAGAGATGCAGAGAAGAGTGGAGAGGTCTGGCCAGCCAGCCCCAGAGGAAGGGCAGAGGCCCTGGGGCAGAGGGAGCCACAGACAACACCGAGCACAAGCTTAGGCAGGGCCCCTGCAATACCCCTTGCAGATGAGCCATCCACACGGCTCAGGGGCTGTGGTCTCTACAAGGCCCGTCTCAGCCAAGCACAAAGGCATCTCCCAGGCCAGAAATCAGAGCCAAAGCACTAGCCCTGTCCCACAGCAGCATGGGGATGTGGGGCTGGGCCAGCGTGGGGACCTGGCCATCCTCAGCTAGTGGCAGTTCTGACAGCTAGGGTGGCAAGGAATCCCGTTCACCCGGCAACGGCAGCCCCCGCTGGTGTCTCCTGGGCCCTAGAGGATGGGGAAGAGAGAAGGTCATGGCGGTTAAGAAAGTGCCCTCCCCCCGGGCTGCTCCATCACACCCCCAAGCACTGTACGTTCCCATTCCAGGCCTTTGCTCAGGCAGGTCCTCCTGCTACCAACGGCCCTCTAGGCCTCAGCTACCTGGTGGAGGCAGTAAGACCTTTCTGGGCTCCCATGGCACCCCTAAGTACGTGGTCTCAGTCTATGCTCCCCTGGACCCAGAGCAGCCAAAGGATGTGATGGACCCTTGCCTATCCTGGGTGGGCTCGCGCCCGGGCCCTGGAAAGAGGGCAGCTCCCTCTGCCTCCATCTCTCCTGGCGTCCGGCAGTACACAATGCTGAGCCCGTCTCCACGACCACACTCCTAATAAAGGCAGCTGCCTCCACGCTCACCCACAGGCTGCCACGGAGCACCCCATGCGCGTTTCCAGCTGACTTGGGAGAGCGGGCGAGGCCCCAGCCCCATCCCTGCTGGCATCTCTGGGTTCCAGATGAACAGCCTAACCACAAGGCCCGGGCACGCTGGTGCCGGGGGCCACTCTGCCTCTGCTGCCCTACACCCCCAGACCGAAGCCGCCTCGCCGCCCTTGGTGGGGTGGGGGCCGGGTTCTTCAGGTTGCTGGGTCCATACGGTCCCCACCTGTGGCATGAACGCAGCCGCACATGGGAGGTGCTCCTGGAACATGCTACGTACGGACAGACACTTGGATTTCATGTCACTTTCACAGCTCACAAGACAGCCTTCTTTTCTTGGTACTTTTCAAACATTTAAAAAATGTAAAGAACATTCTTACTTTACCAGCTGCATGAATACAGGCAGTGGTCAGACCTGGCCCAGGGGCTGTGCCCTGTTCTCGGGCAGGGCCCCCAGGGCACCGCCCCACAGCACTCCCAAGCCCCTGATCTCCAGAGGACTCACCCCGGGGCCCCAGCGTGGGCCTTTGGTGACCCAGCAGATTTCCGTGTGGCAGACAGTGCACCGCATCCAGTCACAGCCGTCCTTCTTCTGCACCACGATCCGGCACTGCGGGCAGTGCATGGCCTCGCCCTGCTGCAGCATGGACTGGGGCGGAACGGGGGTTCAGCCCCTGGCCCCCCACACAGGGAAGCCGGCTGTGCCCTCAGGAGTCAGGGGCTCACTCTGCTCCACCACTCCACCCAGGCCTCGTCTCTGCGGACGCCCGTCCTGCGGCTCACCCCCCGCCCACTTGTCCTAACCAGGTCCTACTTCCGGATGGCGAGGACACCAGGACCGGCTGACAGCGCTGAGAAGCCCCCCACCCGCCGAGACCTCCCGGAACTCCAGTCTCCAGGCCCTCAGCCCCAACCCTGCCTCACCCTGAGCATCTCTGTCGTCTGCCGGGCGGCCACATCGTTCTGAGCCCGCAGGGCCAGGTCATCCTGGTACTCCTTGCAGTTCATCTGCTCGTGGATGGCCTGCGGCAGAGTGAGGGGCTCGAGGTGACAAGGTTCCTTAAGGGGTTATGAAGCTGAGAGACCTGAGGGGCACTAACTGCCTCTAGATGACGTCAGGGACAGGGCCTCGCTTTATACACCAGCTACCCATTCTATGGAAGGTGACACGGGGGTCGGGGAGGGGAGGCCAGGGTCGTCCCATAGGATGATGATAATACCCATGTACGCTAAGTCCTGAGGCCAGAGAAATCCCTACGCCCCCCTCCCCAAAGCTGCAGCCCCAGCTGGAATCTGCGTGATGGCAGGCCCGATGCTCCGGGACCGAGCTTGCTTAGGCTGTGACCAGGCTCAGATCTGTCTCCTTGCTGGAGACCAGTATTTTCAGTGGTCAAGAACTGAGACGATGAGGGGAGGGAGGAGCCTGAGGTCAGGGTCTGGCAAGACTCCATCAGGGGCCAGGGCTGGGGTCAGTCTGTGACTGGGAACAGGGTCTGGTTAAAGGCCAAGGTCAGGGGTCAGTCTAGGCTGAGGTTCCACCGAGGGCCAAGGCTTGGACCAAACCCTAAGCTCAGTTTAGGGCCCAGGCCAGGCCCCATCACAGATGTGTGGGCATCTGTCCTGACAGGCTAGTAGTGCCCCAGCTCCCTTCCCAGGAGAACAAGCACTGAGCTGCAGTGAGCTCCTGGCAGGACCGGGGGATAGACAGCACAGGTCCCTGTCCCCACCTTACAGAGCAGGCAGTTGACGTGGAAGCACACCGGGCACGTAAACTCGTTGACGTCATCCTCAAAGAAGCACCATCCCTTGCAGTCCGGGGTCTTGCAGTGGTAGCTGAAGGCACTGCGGTTTTCCGCGATGGAGACACCCAGGTCCAGAAACCGCTGGTAATCCTCAGGGGGCAGCAGCTGCCAAAAGGCCACAACCCACAACCTGGTTTACTTGGGGTTCAGAGCAGCCCGTGAGGGCCCTCCTTGCTCCCAAATATCCTCCAGAAAGCCCCCAACCCATGAAGTCCAACCTGGCCCCGGCTCTTTACTTTGCATCACCCTCAGTGTTTAAAAACTCCAATCAGAAAGTGGATTGAAAGTTCTAGAGATGGATGATGGCGATGGCTGCACAACTCTGTTAGAGTACATAATGGCACAGAGCTGTGCACCTACAGAGAGTATACATGAAAAAACAAAGGTAAATTTTGTTATGCATATTCTACAATTTGGGAAAAAAAAAAAAGGAAAAATAATCAAGAAAGTAACTGGCAATGCTGGGGAAGATGTTGTTACATACAACACAGAAGAAGAGACACCACGCAAATGTCCCCTGAAACATTCGTTCCAAACTGAGAAACAAGAATTATTATGAGAAGAAGTGTAAGCAGGACAGATGCCATAAGATTTCTGATAATCCTTAGAAACACTCTACCACAAAAGAGCAAAAGCTGTTTTATCTCTGCTGGTAACAACAAAGGAAAAACCATGCCTACTTTCTACATCTCAATTGCGCGGTGTTTACAAGAGTTAAACACTTGTCAAAACTTACCCAACTGCATGCAATGCCTGCATTTTATTGCATGCCAAGTTTCCCTTAGTAAACTTAATTTAAAAAAGAATAAAGTCATGTCTGGGACATGGGAAACCGGAAAATGCAGTCGGGGACTCCCTGGGATGGCAGGGTGGCAGGTGACTTTTCTCTTTGATTTCTGTTCCAGTTCTAGGTGGTTTAGGCATGTGTTTTGTAAAGATAACTCCCACTGCATTACTCTGCTGATCCATGCCCCTTTCTCCCTCTGCCACACCTGACCTTCTCTGCCTTGGGTTAATCCCCAGGGGCTCTGGGGAAGCATGGGCCCTGCACCCCTCGGCAGGAACTCTGGTCCCATCACAATGCCCTTGGCAGGGATGGACCTCAAGGACAAACCTCTGGGTAACCACATGGGTGTCAGAACATACGGAATGACTGACTCCATGTCTGGGAGCTTTCCAGGCTGCAGTGAGAAGGCCTCAGCAGCCCCCTGGAGCCGCCCTTCCCTGATGCCCCACAGATAACAGATAAAAGGGGCTGTTCTTGCTGTAGGGGTAAGTTCCCCAAGCTCTACCCTTTCTGCCTCCCCTTTTTCAGCTGAGGCAGACCCCTTGGACTCCAGGAAAACTAGGTGCAGCCAAGGAGGCTCTCAGGAGGGAGAGGCAGAAGGAACAGAGGTCTTGGGGATGTACCTGGAGGGGTCTCCCATGTGGACCTCAGCCACCTCTGACCCTGTCTCATGTTCTGGCCTGGTAATCCCAAGATGCCCAATTCTGAGAAGGCCCCTTCCCCAGCAGTTTAAAAACCATGAATCAAGCCCAACAGTCAATTTTCCAAGTGGGGATATGGAGACTCCCAGAGAGTGAGAACTTGGTAATGTCACTGGTAACAGTAAAGGCGACTGTGCACCCAGATGCCTACAGCACTGGAATGGACTGCTGGAGCGATGGCCCCGATTTACTGTGTCTCCCTGACTCCACACCCTTGGGTGGTTCCCTCTTGCAGGGACTGTGGGCTTAAGCATGCTCACTGGGAGGGCAACAAGTGAGAGAAGAGGGCAAGCACTCTTGCACTGGAGCCCCCTGCTGGCTGCTCTTGGAACCTGGGGACCACCAGCCAGTGGGTAGGCCGGGCCAGCTTGCCGGGTGGAGAGAGCAAAGTGGAAAGACACCCAGCTGCCCTTCCCCTCCCACTGCTGGTAAGGCCATCATGAACCAGTCCAGGACAGTGGACCCACCAGCTAAACCCACCCGAGACTGGCCAGGGCCAGCAGAAGCTAGAAGAATCAGGCGCTACAAGAATCATCTGGCTAAACCCATCCAACCCCAATGACAAATCTGCAAATGCATGAACTAAATAAACAGTGGTTGAAGACACAGTGTCTGGAATAACTTGTTATGCAGCAGACGCAAGCTGATACAAGGGCTCACTCACCATGTGCTAAGCACTACTCTAGAGTCTTTACACACAACCTTAGACAACCTTCGAAGAAACTAACTTTGACCCTGAGATGAGAAAAGCAAGGCACAGGTTGAGTATCTGACTTGAGGTCACCACGACCAATGGCCCCAGGTTTCCCCACTCTTAACACCTGTGCTGTCTTTCCTTCACAACAGCGGTTTCTTAAGCAGCTACTTCCCCCCAAGTCCCATCTTCTTCACTGCTTGGCCCCCAGCATCCCACCCAGAAGGCTCTGGATATATGTGTGCAGCCTGAGACCTGCCAGCTCCAGGCATGCCCCCCCCCCCCCCCCCCAGCCCCCAGGCCTTACCGCCCGGATCTCCCGCTCCAGCAGCTTGCCCGAACACGAGTATGTGTTGTCAATGAAGGGGCAGGAGACCTCCGCCTCCTGGCTGTTGCGGATGGTGCCCTGCAGACACTCCCTAAAGGGGGAGAGGGGTGATGGGTGGAGGTTAGCGTCCTCTGAACCCCATCAACCCAGACTATGCCCCTCACGTGGCGAGGCCTGACCCCAGGTAGGCTTTGCTTCAGTACTTCTCTCCCTTCCTATCCCGTCCACAAATCCACCAGCAAGGCCTCCACCTCTGTCCACCCCCACTACTCTGGCCCAGGCCCCCATCACCCCTTGCCTGGGGGACTGCGGATGCAACTTCACTGGAATCCCTGAGACCTCATCGCCCCTACAATCCACTCTCAACAGTGGCCGCATTGTCCCCAGCAGCCTCCCGTCCCGACCTGCCCAGAACAACCCACATCCCTCACTACAGCTCACAAGAACCCCGGGGGTGCATCCTAACACCCCTCTGTCCATCCCTCTGCTCTGGCCACACAGATGAGCCAGGCACATCCCTGTTCCAGACCTTCTGGTCTCTGTTCAAGGGCTACTTCCTGTGGGGCTTCCCTGACTCCCTTCCTGAAGCAGAGGCCCTGGGTTTGTTCTTCTGTTTGTTTTCTTCTCATAATTCACCAGGACTTAGCATCCAAAACAATTTACAATTATACCAGTCATTTTTTGATTACCATCAGGTTCTCCACTGGAATGAACAGTTTTTTGTTCACCCGTGGATCCCCAGGCCTGGCACAGTCTCTGGCACCAAGGGGCCACTCAACCAAGGCCTGCTGGGGGTGAAGAAGGGTGCGATCTCTACAGCCCGGGGCTGGCAGCCTGCCCCCCAGCCAGGCAGAGAGCAGGCTCGGCTTGGGCTGCGGGAGACAGGGCCCCACTGCCCCCCGAGGCGCCTGCCCAGGCAGCAGCAAAGGGCGCAGATGCTGGAACCAGAACGCCTGAGCTGTGCGGCCTTGAGCAAGCCGCAGACCTTTCTGAACCTCGAACTCCTCCTATGCAAAATGCGGAGACCGCGCCTACCTCGCAGGTTTTTGAGGGCATCCAATGAGATGTAAGAGCACGGGCCCCACCCATTCTCAGCCCTCCGGGAATTGGCGGCTGTGAGAAACGCTGTGCTGCGGGAGGTGGGGGTGGGGGCCGCACCTGCAGAAGGCGTGCAGACACTCACGCAGCACCACGGCATCGCCGGGCGCCAGCACCAAGTAGCACACGGGGCACTCGGTGGGCTCGGTGTTCAGCACCAGGCTCCTCTGATCCAGCTGGACGTGCTGCAGGTAGTTCCCCTCCTGCTGCTGCTGCTTCCGCTGGGCACACGGGGTGGGGCCGCGGGACGGGTCAGGGTCTCAGGGGAGGGGCAGACCGGGAAGGGGGCAGGACCGTGGACCAGGTCATACCCCGGAGGCGGGGCAAAGCTGGGGTAGAGCAGGATCCCTGGGTGGGGGGTGGGACCTGGTTGCCAGCAGGAGACTAGATGGCTGGGAAGGGTGGGGCCAGAGTGGGGCCAGGAGGGGAGGGGAGGAAGCCAAGGGACAGGAGGTGGACCAGGCTGGGGCAGGTTGGGGCTGCAACCGCGTGAGCGAGTGATGGCGGTAGGGAAAGGAAGAGGGTTAAGGTTTGAGGAGATAGTCCGAGGTAACAGAGCTCACATCCCTGCCAAGAAGTAGGGCAGTGCTGAGCCGGGGTGGGGTTGGAGCCGGCCAAGATCACAGAGTGGGTCAGGGGTATGGAGGTGGTGGTAAAGCTTGGCAGCAAAGCAAGACGGGAGAGAGGATGGATCTGGGCCACGGCTGTAGGTAAGACCACGAATGAGGTCATGGCTGGGGTGGGAAAAGGATAGCTCCAGATCCAAGGGGAATGCAGGTGGGGGTTAGGGGGCATCCGATCAGAATGGGGAACACTCAGGATGTGGTATCTGTTAATCAGGGCTTGTGTCAGGATCGCGGGCAGAGCTATGGGAAGGGCAGGACAGAGGACGGGCTTAATCTCCCAGAGAGAGGTGAAAGGCTGGGTCCAGGCTCATAGGAAGTCAGGGGTGACACAACAGGGACGGAGGGGGTCAGGAACAGTAGGGTCCAGGGTGAGGTGACGTTTGCATGGAGCAAGAGCTAGGTCACAGGCGGATACGGAGGAGGTGGACAAAAGCATGGTTGGACCTAGGGTACTAGAGTCACAGCCAGGGGAGTTGTAAGCACAGTGGGTGTGTAAGTCAAAGCTGGGGGCGGGCATGTGATCACAGCCAGGGAGCAAGGTCTCAGCACCCAAGACCTCCAGGAGAAGTGAGTCGCAGTCAAGTGCAGAGTCTCCAATAGCGGTGGGGTCAGGAGACGGCAAGGCAGCAACGGGGGAGGAGCAGCATTGCGGAGAGGCCTCCCTTCCCGTTCTACGCCTCCCCGCCCAGTCTGCCGGCATGTGTCCCGGGACTTCCCGCGCCTACCTGCTGGTACTGGCGCAGCGCCTCCTCCTCGCCGGCCAGGCGTGCTCTTTCCTCTTCGTCCGGCTGGTAGGAGGCGGGGACCTGATACGCCTCAGGCCGTGCCCGGCAGCACATCTCGCAGCCGGGCCTCGTGGGCTTGTTAATGAAGGTGCAGCCTGGGCACTGCCAGCCCACCTGGGAGCAGAGTCGGGGAATGGGGGGTTGAGCACCGCGCAGGGCGGCCCGGGGTTCCGACGCTAGGCGTCGAATGGGGGGCGGGGCCCGGGAGCATGGAGGCGGAGTCAGGGGCAGGGCGCTAGGTCACCCGCACACGGAGTCGGGGGCGGCTTACCGGCGGGGGTTCCGGCATGGCATCGGGCTGGCCCCGCCCCGGCTCCTGGGGGACTCCGGGCTTCGCGGGGGCAGGCTCCAGGGGGCCCCGGGGCTGCAGCGTGAGGTCTTTGAAGCCCAGATCTAGGGAGGAGGGTTTAGGGGGTGGCATTTCCAGGCAGCCCACTTCGTGCACACTCTGAGCCAGCCAGGCGCCATGAGCCCCTCCCCCACACTCCTCCCTTCTCCCTGGGGGAAGTCTCCCCCCGGATTCGACAGGTGAGCCTACACCTGGCTGAAAGTCCCGCTACCACAGGGTCGGGGTCCCTCCTCCACCTATGAGTGCCCCTTCGAGCCCCCGGCTTAAAAACCGGCTTCCTGTGCTCCAAAGGTCATTGCACCTAGAGGCACAATCATTTCTGAGATGCTCCTGCCAAGTACTGATCTGCATCCATTCATGAGGGGATATGAGACAGGAAACAAACAAAACTGGCCGGACTCTTCAAATACCAGGAAAGTCAGAGGAACATAGGACACCAAAGACTGAAAGGCCCTGAGAGACATGACGCCACTGCCAGGTGTCTGGCTATAAAAGGACATTTGTGGGACAGCTGGTAAAATCTGGGTAACATCTGTGGATTAGATAATAGTATTTCATCATTGCTAATTTCCTAAGTTTGGTAGTTGTATGTGGTAATGTAAGAAAATGACCCTTTTTCCAAGAACATGCACATGGAAATATTTAGGGGACAGGGACATCGTGTCTGCAACTTCAAAACAGTTCAGAAAAAAAGTTATTTAGATGTTCATAAATAATTTTATATAATGACAAAGCAATTGTGGTGAACTGTTACTTTTTTGGGGAATCCAGGTGAAAGGTACTTGGAAGTTTGTTATACAATTCTTTGTACAACATTGCAACTTTTCTGTAAGTCTGAAATATTTCCAGATAATAAACAAAACATTTAGAATAAACGGTGTTATCATCATCATCATATCCAGTGTACAGATTTAGAAACTGAGGAACAGACAAGAAGGGACTGGCCCGATGTCATACAGCTGGTGAATGCCAGGACTGAACTCAGTCCCTCAGAGCCTGCTGCTCTCAGAATGGCTCTGAAATGGCTCCCTCCAGGGTGCCCTTTGTCCTCTCTTCCCCACTATGGATAAGGTCCTCCCCGTGAGAGCTCCTGACCAAAAGCCATGGGCTCTGTTCCCTCGCCCTGGATCTAGGTGAGTCCCCGGCCACTCAGAGGCCGAGCCTCACCTTCCAGCATCCGCAATTGCCTCTCCCGCTGCAGCTCCTGAGGGTTGAGTGAGGTGTTGCAGGCTGACAGCAGATAGAGGTAGGCAGTGTCCCCATTCCGCCGCACCCCATGGGAGTGCAGGGTCTCCTGGTCCCGGGCCAGCCGCTGCCCAATCACCCACTGCTGCAGGACGGGCGGAAAGCCATAGTCCAGGAATACCTGGCAGGGGATACGGAGAGCGAGAGGGTGGAAAGGGAAGAACAGAGCAAAGGGAGGTGGAAGCGAAATGGGAAGCATGTGCCCTGATGTGTCCCTTCAGTGTGGCTCCCCCCCCCTGCCAACTCACCATGTCCTTGAGGGAAGCCACGGTCATGTCAGGACGCACTGTAAGCCAGATGGTGACTGTGTGCATCTGAGCATCCTCCACGCTCACCCACAGCCTGCGGAGAAGGTCACAGGTCCAGGCCCGGCCTCCAGCTATTGGCACGTATGTGTCTGCACACTTGCACACACGCACACGTGTACAGACACATGTGCACAGGCCCACGGCCCCCCAGACTGGGATAGGGACCTTTTCTGGATTCCTGCAGCCCTGGGCTTCCTTCTTGATCAGAACCCACTGCTTAAGCCCCTGCAATGAATCTGCACTGCTCTGAGAATCAAATCCACACTCACCACAGCCCCCACAGAGCGCCTCTGCAATCGGCCCCGCCCCACTCCCCTACTCCGCAGCCTCCTCTCTGGTTCTGTCCTTTGCTCCTTAGCCAAGCCACCAACAGTCATTTACTATATGTCAAGACTTCAAAGTACTTCATATGTTTTTGCTCCTTTAATGCTCTCCACGAACCCACGAGGCAGATACTGTTGTCACCGCTATGTTAGGGTAAAAAACCTGAGGCACAGCCAGATCACACAGACTCTACTCAGTAAGCACTAAGTGACTGTGAGAGGCAGGATTCCAACCCGGGGTCATTCCAGAAACACCAGACTTCTCACGGACCCTTCAACATTTCTGGTCAGATCAAAAGCATGGAAGGAAGGGCTAAGGTTAAAACAAAACCAAAAAACCAGAACTGATCCCAAAGGAAACAGAAAAATCATAAAACAGAACAAACCAGCAAGGAGCCATCGGGAAACGAGGACAAATGCCTGGAAATGTAAAAAGTGACTCCTGATGAAGCTAACCTTCAGCTCCAACTACAAGTTCACAAGAAAAACTGGAGATCCTAAATGACACCCCGAGACAGCAATTAAGAAGCCCAGAATGTGGGAAAATTCTGGAAGTCCCAGAGAAGGTTTCTTAAATTAATAGCCTAAAAAGAGAGGGGGAATAAAAGAGATGATATTAAGAAATGCTACATGTAGATCTCCTTTGGGTCCTGACGGGAACCTACTATAAAAATTGTTAATGAGATAATCAGGGAAATTTTAATATAAATGGGATTTTAAGGAATTATTACTAATAATTCCTTCATAGGTATAATAATGATACCAAGTTCATAAACCATGGAGAGGTAATATATGGCATGGTGACTACAGTTAACAATACTGTGTTTATATCTGAATATTGCTGAGAATAAGTCCTAAACGCTCTTATCACAAGAAAAAATAGGGGCGCCTGAATGGCTCAGTCAGTTGAGCATGTGACTTTTTTTTTTAAGATTTATTTATTTATTTGACAGAGCACAAGTAGGGAAAGCAGCAGGCAGAGGGGAGGGAGAAGCAGGCTCCCTGCTGCACAAGGAGCCTGATGTTGGACTCCATCCCAGGACCGTGGGATCATGACCTGAGCCGAAGGCAGACACTTAACTGACTGAGCCACCCAGGCGCCCCTAGAGCATGTGACTCTTGATGGGGGTGGGGGGTGAGTTGAAGTCCCATGTTGGGTATACAGTTTACTTAAAAATAATGATAATCTGGGGGCGCCTGGGTGGCTCAGTGGGTTGGGCCTCTGCCTTTGGCTCGGGTCGTGATCCTGCGGTCCTGGGGTCCTGGGATTGAGCCCCAAGTCGGGCTCTCGGCTTGGCAGGGAGCCTGCTTATCCCCTCTCTCTCTGCCTGCCTCTCTGCCTACTTGTGATCTCTGTCTATTAAATAAACAAATGAAATCTTTAAAAAAAAATGATAAATCTCTAAGTATGTCAGTATGTGATGTTAACTTACTGTGGTCATCACTGCCCACTACACGCATGTACCAAATCATTATGGCGAACATCTAAAATGATTCTTAGACTCCACTTCCAACGTTGGATAAGAAGAGGGGAGCTCCTGGGGCGCCTGGTTGGCTCAGTGGGTTAAGCCGCTGCCTTCAGCTCAGGTCATGGTCTCAGGGTCCTGGGATCGAGTCCCGTATCGGGCTCTCTGCTCGGCAGGGAGCCTGCTTCTCTCTCTCTCTCTCTCTCTCTCTCTCTCTCTGCCTGCCTCTCTGTCTACTTGTGATCTCTCTCTGTCAAATAAATAAATAAAATCTTAAAAAAAAAAAAAAAAAAAAGAGGGGAGCTCCTTACACAGCCCCCAGCAATTCTTGGGCACCAGCACGGAGCCCTACATTGCAACTCAATTCCCACCCTATCTACCCAGAGACAGCAGCTGTGTCCACAGGTTGAGGGCTCAGACCCAGGAAACTGCCCCTCCCCCCTTCATGCCAATCACAAGCCCGGTTATCACCTGTGTTGACTCACTGGCTATAGACTTAGGGGTTCCAACAGCCCACTCCTCAGGTTCAATTAATTTGCTAGAGCAGTTCACAGAATTCAAACATTTTACTTACTAGATCACTGATCACTGGTTTTTTATAAAAGGATATAATTCAGGAACCACCAGATGGAAGAGACACATAGGGCAAGGTATATGGGAAGGGGTGAGGAGCTTCTGTGCCCTCTTGGATTGCACCATTCTCCCCAAATCTCCATGTGTTCCTCCATCCTGGAGCTCTCTGAATGCTGTACTTTTCAGTTTTTAAGAAGATTTCATTATACAGGCATGATTGATTAAACCATTGTCATTGGGGACTCCAGCCCCTGTCCCCTCCCACGTCAGGGGGATAGGACTGAAATTTCCAACCCTTTAATCACAGGGTTGGATTCTCTGGACCAGACCCTATTCCTTTTTTTTTTTTTTCTTAAGACTTTATTTATTTGACAGAGATACAGCAAGAGAGGGAACACAAGCAGGGGGAGTAGGAGAGGGAGAACCAGGCTCCCTGCTAAGCAGGTAGCCCAACACGGGGCTCAAGCCCTCCCTCCCCCTAGTCATGACAGGAGCCAAAGGCAGAGGCTAAACCATGGAGCCACCCAGGCATGCCACCCAGCCCCTATTCTTAAGTAATCTGGGGACATTCCAAAAGTCACCTCATTCACATAACAAAAGGCACCTTTACCACTCTCATTACTTACAAAGTTCCAAGGAGTTTTGTGCCAGGAAAGGACAAAGACCAAATATGTACTCCTTATTATAAATCATAACATCACATCACCTTAAACTAATACAATGTTACATGTCAATGCTATCTCAGTAAACTGGAAAAAAATATGTCCATATAAAAGCTAGACACAAATGTTCACAACAGCAACATTATTCATATTAGCCAAAAAGTAGAAAAAAAACAAATGTCCATCAAATGATTAACAAATAGAGAAAATATGGTATATTCGTACAGTGGATTATTATTCAGCAACAAAAAGGAATGAAGTTCTGGAGCACCGGGGTGGCTCAGTCAGTTAGGCATCTGACTCTTGATCTCAGGGTCGTGAGTTCAAGCCCCCAACTGAGCTCCACACTTAGGGAAGCCTACTTAAAAAAAATAACAAATAAAAATAAAAGGAATAAAGTTCTGATACATGCTACAACATAGGTGAACTGAGAAAACATTATGCTAAGTGAAAGAAGCCAGACACAAAAGGCCACATATTGTACAATTCCATTTACATGAAATATCCAGACTCGGCACAACCCTGGAGATAACAAGTAGATCAGTGGCCGCCTAAGGCTGGGGTTGGAGAAAGGCAGGGAGATGAGGAGTGACTACTAATAAGTATGGACTGGGGTTCTGCAGGTGGGTGATAAAAACGTTCAATAAGTGAGCACTGGCTCAGTTAGGCATCTGCCTTTGGCTCAGGTCATGTTCCCATGGTCCTGGGATGGAGCCCCCCATCGGGCTCTCTGCTCAGTGGGGAGCCTGTTTCTCCCTCTCCCTCTGCCACTCCCCCTGCTTCTGCTCTCCCTCTCTCAAATAAATAAATAAAGTCTTTAAAAAGTTCTATAACTGATTGAGGGTGATGGCTGTACAACTCTGAATATACTAAAAGCCTTGAACTATACACTTTAAATTGCTGAATTGTATGGTATGTCAACCCTACCTCAATGAAACCATAAAAAAAATCAAATGGGATCCACCAGGAACATTGAAAATCACAAACTATGAAACTATTGTCTTACTATACAGCAGCAGAAAGCAGCAGGAAAAAAAAGACAAACCCCACTGTTCACTGAGTGACTGACATGTGCAAGGCAGAGTGCTAAGCATTACAAGGTCAAGTTTAAGTCTCCTGGGGAAAGACTAACAGTATTCATCCTCCCTCGCTTCTCTTGCTAACAGAACCCCTGAATTCTGTTGGATACCTGGTCACATTTCACAGCCTCCCTTCATGCTGAACGTGGCTGCGAGAATAAATTCTGGTCCACAGGAATTTAGTGGAAGAAGTGGGCAACTTTCTGAGCTGTGTGCTTCAAGTGTGGGAGGGGGTATCCTTTTGCCCTTCTGTAGAGGCCGCTTTGGGGCAACAAGCTGGAGCAATGGAAACTTGATCAAGGCAAAAGGGCCCACAGCTGAATGCAAACAGGCTCATTAAGCAGCCCACCTCAAAACAGACCCACCACAACATACGCATAGCATTAGCTGACAATGGGTTACCTTACACCGGGCACACTTACCAATGAAGGGAAAATTCCATCCTTTCCGGTCCCCTACTTCCTCACTCTGCCCTTTAATTACAGCCCCCCAGTCTGCCTCTTCCCAGTCTCTGCTTTGCTCTCCTGCCACTCCTCCCTTGCAGTGTATGCAATAAACTTCTGTGTCCTTTGTGCGGCCTAGGGTGAATTCTTTCAGCCCCTGGGGCTGCCACCCAATTGGGCGTGGGCGGCCCCACATTTGGGGGCCTCTCCCATCTGATCGGGAGAGACACTACACCTTTCTTCTTCCTGCTGACAAGAATGCTGATGTGATGGCTGGAGCTGGAACAGCCACTTTAGACCATGAAGCAAACCTCACAATGGAGTCCATGAATGGCAGAATAAAAGGACAGAAGCTTGAGTCTCTGAAGACCCTGGGAAGCACAGCCTCCACATCTCGACTGCCTGCCCTCAAACTTGTTCATGCCACTGTTACTAGGTTTCTTTCTGTTACATGAGGACTAAAATTCTACTACACCTTCTAATGACCCTATGAGATAGCTTACTATTATTGCCTCATTTAAAAAATGTAAAAAACACTGAAATTCTGAGATGGGAGGTGACTTGCCATAGATCTCACAGTTGATTAGTGATAGAGCTTGGGTCTGAACCTAGGTCTCCTGACACCAGAACCAGAACCTGCTACTGGGCATAACTAAATACATTGTGGTCTGCTGGGGTTCAGGAAACCCTACATCTTTGGCCACCCGTGCACTCCTCACCTGATATCCTGTGTTGGGGAGACCTCAGGCTTTAGTCGCACACTCAGGGGCACCCGCTGCTCTGCCAGCCAGATGGCACACTGCACTGCCACCTTTTCATCCCCGCCTGCCACGGCTCGGCTGAGTCTCAGGGCCATCTCCTCCGCTGAAACCCAGCACAGTGGAAGCAGGTTAGCACAGAGTTTATCTTTTAGGAGCTGGGGGTGAGGGGGGTGGTTATCCTTTGTACATGCTGCTTCCTCTGTCTTCATGGTGAACTCCTACATATCCAACAGTACCCAGCTTAAAAATCCCTTCTCTGAGTGGCCGTCTCTGAAACTCCCATTCCACCTCCCTATTCATTTGGTTCTGCTTTTCCTTCATATTCCCAGGTCCCCATACTTCCATTCATTTATCTGACTAGCATTTACTGAGCTCCTACTGTGTACCAACCACTGTCCCAGAAACTGGGATTCAGCACTGAGTAAGATAAACAGAGTCCCTCTCCTCATGGACCTCCCAGCCCAGTAAGGAAACAGACAACAGAAAAAAATTCAGATTGTGATCCAGGCTGGCAAGGAAATAGGGTAAGATCAGGGAAGGCCTCTAGGAGGAGGTGATGCTGAAGCTGAGACCAGAAGGAGAAGCTACATATGTCCAGACCTAGTTAGAGAAGGAGTCTACCAGGTGAAGAGAAAGATAAGGGCAAAGGCCTTGAGCAAGAAATGGTTAGATGAGAACAGAAAGAAGCCAGTGGAGCTCCATCAGAACAAGCAAGGGGGTGAGTGGGATAAGATTATGAGGATAATAAAGCCCAAAGGGCCTTGTGGGCTAACCAAGGGCTCTGGCCTCAGTTTTAAGAACACAGAGGAGCACCGGGTTGCCGGGGAGGAGGGATGGGGCAGTGGTGATTAAGCAGGGTGGTGACCTGACATGTTCTAGGATGCTGGTTGGAGCAGGCAAGAGGGGAGGCAAGAGCGCCTGGTATTCAGGTCAGCTGAGATCTGTCTCCCCTACCAGCCTGTGAGGTCTTCTGTGCCCTCTGGGAGCTCCCTACCCCACTGCAGCCGGGCTGGCTCATGGTGGCCTCAGGGGCATCCCATAATTGAATGACAAGCCTCTGGCAGCAACCAGGCCTCAAGGAAGGAAACTCAGGGACCGGTGGGTAGAGGAAGGACACGGTTAAAGCTGCTTCTTCCGGACCCTTTTGGGCAGGGGAGGCCGGGTCCTGCCGGGGCCCATCTCTTAACGGAAGTTCCCCAGCCGCCTCCAGGGGGTGCCCACCTTTCTTGGTCTTCTCGTCCATCTGGCGTGGTTGCGCCCATCCCCCCGGGCGGGGGCAGCAGCTCCGGAGAAATGCTATCCCTGGGTCACCTGGCAGAGGACGGACGACCAGAAGCAACTCAGCCCCGGCCGGTGACCTCCAACGCGGCCCGAGCCCTCTTTGTGCCTTGATGTCCCCAGCGGCAATCGGGTAACATCCCAAGCACCGGGGATTGGGTATGGGAACCGGCAGGACCCCGCGTGGGAGGTGAAAGGGCAGGCGGCACCAAGCCAAGCCCACAATGGGCGACAGAGGAAACGGGACAAGCCCGCGGGGATGAGAGTGACGCCGCAACGCGGGGCGCTGTTTAGTCCCCGGGGAGAGCCCCCACCTTCTGCTGCTGGGAGCGCCGCCCGGCGCCCGGGATTGCAGCAACACTGCCTCCCCTGCAGGGCGGTCTCACACAGAGGGGAGGGGAGAAAAGCAGCACAGCGGAAGGGAAAGTGAAAGTGGAGGCCCCGGAAGCGGGGCAGCGGATTGTCGGGACATCCGGACACCCCCTCTACACACACCACCCGGCCCACTGCCACCTACGCAGTCCCCGGCGGTCCCCGCCCTACTCCGGATCACGGCGGTCCGGGTCCTCGGTGACCTTGGCCGGAGTGACACCGTTGGGCTGACCCCCGACTCCCCAACCCTTACTCACCGCCCTGCCGCGCCCGCAGTGCCTTGGGAAGGGGGGGCGGGGCCCGCACCGAGGGGCAGGGCCCAGACGGGGGTGGGGCCATGCCTGCCGGAGGCGGGGATTTGGGCGGTTATTAGGGTGGGTCTCAGCCTCAGTAGACCCACCCGCACACCTGAGAGTCGCCCCCATCCTCGGCTCTGTATGCCCAAGACCAACGGAAGCCCTAGCCTCACTTGGCTCCTTGCTTCTCCTTTTGGCCGCAGCTGTCCATTTTCCACCTGCTGCCAGAGGGTCCCTAGAATGTAAATCAAACCACGTCACTCCTCAAAACACTCCCAGTTGTTCCCAACACTCTCATGGCAAAGTAAAAGCCGAGGTCCTCCCCACGGACTGCAGATTGCCTCCCCTTCTCTGTCTACTGTTAAACCTAAAAAATAAAACAGCCCGTTATTTTCCCAGCAAAATGGGTTTATTCAGGAAGAGCCAAGAATTGCGATTTGGGACATTCGAGCTATGAAAAACGACGGGCAAGTCTAACAAAGCAAAGGAATATTATTTTACTGAGGAGGAGGAAATTGGTGCTTTGAACCAAGTCTGCTGGAGAAAAGCAAGAGCTCAGGGTGGTGGCAGTTTCTCATTGGCGGAGTTACAGAGGTAGTGGATTTCTTGTGGGAGATGCAGTGCACATCTTTCCCTCTTGGGGCCTGTAGTTTATTCTTTCCTGTTGAGGACTCTTTGTTGGGATGTGTAATTGACAATTCCTCCTGTAAGGGACCTCCACGACTACCTGTCAGAGCTCCCCTTTCTGGCCTCCTCTCCATTTTAATGAGGTCTCCCTCGATTCCTTGGTTCACGCCACTCAAGCCCATTGGCCTCTTAGGTCCTGCAACAAGGCAAACACACTCCACCTCAGGGCCTTTGCTTATGCCATAACCCAAATATCTTTATGGCTTGCTCTCTCCCTTTAGTTTGGTCTTTACCCAAGAGTCTTCCCCATCCACTCTGTTTGAAACTTCACAGAGCCATATACATCCATCATTTCATAACCTCCTTCCTGGCTTCATTTTTTCTTTTTTCTAAAGCATATATTACTATCTAATGACATATTTTACTTACATATCTTGGTTGGAGTTTTTGTTTGGTTTGGTCTGTTTCCCTCTTCTAGAGGCCAACACTCTTACCTATTTTGCTCACTGCTCCTGGTGTCTAGGACAGTTCCTAACGTAACAGGTGCTCAAGGATTATATCTTAAACGAATGAAGGAATCTCTTAACACAGAGGTTCTCAACCTGGGCTGTACATTTGAATCGCCTGTAGGGCTCTGTGGTTTAACCCAGATTTTGAATGGTTTTTATTTTTAAAAATTTCACTTATGTATTTGAAAGAGTGAGAGCAAGAGAGAACACAGAAGGAGAGGGAGAAGCAGACTCCCTGCTGAGCAGAGAGCCCAATGTGGGCCTCACTCCCACCACTCTGAGATTGTTACCTGAACCGAAGGCAGATACTTAACCAACTGAGCCACTCAGGCGCCCCCCCCCACCAAGCTTTTGAATTTTTTATTCTGGTTATTGTATTTTTATTTTAGAAGTTCTGTTAGGGTTTCTTTTTTCTTTCTTTTTTTTTTTCTGTTTAAAGATTTTATCTATTTATTTATTTATTTGAAAGAGAGAGAGAGAGAATGAGCAGGGGCTTCTTTTTTCTTTCTTTGTTTTTCTGTTTAAAGATTTTATTTATTTTATTTATTTATTTATTTATTTATTTGAAAGACAGAGAGAGAGAGAATGAGCAGGGGTGAGGGGCAGAGGGAGAGGGAGAGGGAGAGGGAGAAGGCTCCCAGCTGAGCAGGAAGGCCCACGAGGGGCTCGACCTGAGGACCCTGGGATTAAGACCTGAGCCAAAGGCAGACATTTAACCAACTGAGCTACCCAGGTGCCTCTCTATTAGGTTTTCAAATCTGTTTCACTTGATATAAGTTCCTACACTTTGGCCATAGTTTCAAGCTTGTTATTAATTTCAGGGTGGTGCACATTTTTTCCTTTTACAATCTATATCTGATAATATTGCTGAACTGAACTCTGAGTGTCTGTTTCTGCTGGTTTTCACTTCCAGTGCCTTGTTTTCCTCTGGTGACCCTGCCGGTTTGTGATAGTCATGGCCCCTTCAGCCCTGAGGTTACCTACACAATCTATAGTGGGGGCAGGTATTTTCTTTTGGCTGTTCTGGTCCTTGCCTGGGGCTTCAAGGGCAGAGCTGGCATTCACTTCGGATATCCTTCATCCCAGAGGGTAGGCTCTTCAGTCCTTCAAACCTGGGCCCAGTCCCATTGCTCACGATCTGTGCGGGCAGGACAAGATGCCCCCTCTCTGGCCCTTGCCTCTCTCCCCCTCCCCCCGTACAATGGTAATCACGATGGCCCCTCCCACATAGGGCTGTCTTAAAGATCTGGTCAGTTATTTCTCAGTGATATCTAATGAGTTACCCCAAAACTTAGTGGCTTAGAACAACAGTAAACATGTAGACCTCACATAATCTCTGGGGACTAGGAATCCAGGAGCACCTTCTTAATTGGTTTTGGCTCAAAGTCTCTCAGAGGTTGTCGCAAAGATGGCGGAGGCTTCAGTCATCTGAAGTCTTGACTGGGGTGGAGGAGCTGCTTTCAGGAAAGCTGCTTCTACACCTGGCTGGTGCTGGTTTGCAGAACGTCACAGTTTCTTGTCACTCGTGCCTCTCCATAGGTCTATCTGAGTGTCCTTGAAACATGGCAGTGGCTTTCCCAAGAGCAGATGATCTGGGAGAGTGAGGCAGGAGCCATGATATATTTTATGGCGGAGCCTTACTCCTTCAGTCAGACAGTGATTCCCCACGACTGGGGAGGGCGAGGGGATCCCTGTGTGGGAGTGAGGCATCGCCGCGACCCTAGCCCACGAGTTTGGGAATCTAACATGGATGCAACATGGGACCACACATAGTTTTGTGGTCCTTCGAGCATCGCACCTTCCCACACACTTCGGTGAGGGCAGCTCCAGTGTGCGGCACCACACTCGGACATCCACCCTTGGCACTGGGCCACCATTTGTAGGGTTTTGTTTTAGCTACACGTGGGGGACCCACGAGTTTGAGAAATCCAAGGGGAAGAATTCAGCTGCTTATGAAAATAACAAAAGTGGGGCACCTGGGTGCCTCAGTCGTTAAACGTCTGCCTTCAGCTCAGGTCATGATCCCAGAGTCCTGGGATCGAGCCCCACATCAGGCTCCCTGCTCCGCCAGAAACCTGCTTCTCCCCCCCCTTCACTCCCCCTGCCTGTGTTCCTGCTCTCATTGTCTCTCTGTCAAATAAATATATATATATAATCTTTAAAAAAGAAGGAAAAGAAAATGACAAATGGGCCACTCATCAGGGTGATGGTTCCTTGGTCTGAAAGATACTTCTCTAAGATAAGAGTTGACATTGTTGTGTCTTGAAGACATAATACACTACTTAAGGACTGCTACCAAAAAAAAAGTCATATTTCTTCATTTTCACAGCATCGTATTTGTTACCCCCTTAACCCAGCTCAGGGTAGGAGGGAACTACACAAGGGCATGAATCCCATGTGTCAAGGATCATGGGGGCCATGGTAGAGGCTGGCTAACACATATCAAATGAGACAGCGCAAACAAAGTGCTTAGAACCATGCCTGGCATGTGATGTATGCTCAGTAAACATTAACCTTCCCTAACAAGTGTCCTGCTTTGTTCTAGCCATGTAGGGTCTGCATAGTAACCGCTTTCATTTAGTCATTCAACAAACATTTAATTGAGCAGCTCTGGGTGCCAGGCACTGTTCTAGGGGGGAGACTGTTATGAACAAAACATAGTCCCTGGCCTTCTGTAACTCCTACAAACAACAGAGATAGACTGTCCCGCCAGGTGGGGCTAAGCGGTAAAAAGAACCACAGAGCCAGGTGAGGGGAGAGGTAAAGTCGGTACAGCAGACATGGTGGCTCAGATCTGACCCCTGACAGAGACCTCTCAGACCTCTGAGCCCATCCTGGCATCCTGGTCAGGTGGAACTTCTACCCATTTTATACCTGGGCTGGGGTCAAGCAAGCTCAGCGCAGAGCTGAAGTGAGCTCTGAGTTCCCCCAAGGAGTCAGGATTTTTCCAGAATACAGAGGTTCTCCAAATCAGATGCTCAGAAGCATCTCCCAGGGAGCTTGCTAAGATGCACGACTACACGAAGTCTGACTCACAGGTCAGGAGAGGTCAGGAGAGGTCAGGGATCAGCTTTGTAAACACACACCCAGGGGACCAACCTGCCACATCTAGGCTCTTTTCTTCGGGCTGCACCGGCGCAGGGGAGGGCTGGCCCACTCTCACAGAGTCTCCAGGTACAGCCTCAAAGGCCTGATGGGGCTTAGCCAAGCAGAGAGCAGGGGAACAGGGGGAGACCCAGAGACACCCAGCAATTTGTTCAGCCCGCAGGGTCAGTTTTGGGTACACAGTGGTCAACATCTTTGATCAAGTAGATCTCGTGCTGCCCGTTAAAATAAATAAGTGTAGGGGCACCTGGGTGGCTCAGTCATTAAGCGTCTGCCTTCAGCTCGGGTCATGATCTCAGGGTCCTGGGATCAAGCCCCGCATGGGGCTCCTTGTTCAGCAGGAGGCCTGCTTCTCCCTCTCCCACTCCCCCTTCTTGTGTTTCCTTTCTTGCTGTGTCTCTCTCCACCCAATAAATAAAATCTTTTAAAAAATAAAATAAAATAAGTATATAAAAAGCCATAAATCAGGGCACCTGGGTGGCTCAGTGGGTTAAAGCCTCTGCCTTCGGCTTGGGTCGTGATCCCAGGGTCCTGGGATCGAGCCCCACATCAGGATCTCTGCTCGACGGGGAGCCTGCTTCCCCCTCTCTCTCTGCCTGCCTCTCTGTCTCCTTGTGATCTCTATCAAATAAATAAAATCTTAAAAAAAAAACCCATAAATCATTTTCAGCTCCTTTCATCCAGAGGGAGAATCTTTTTTCCCACCTCCCAAATCTGGCTGTGTGACATGTTTTGGCCAATGGGACTTTTGCGGGTGTGACACCAACATAGCTCCACATTCGCATCTGTCCTTTCTTGCTGCTCTCTGAAACCCAAGACCACCAGGTGAGGGGGCTGCGGCTAGGCCTGCTGGAGAGAGACCTGGTGGAACAGAGGGGAGCCGCCCAGCCCTGCCTCCTTGGAGCCTGCTGACTGACAATGACAGAGTAGGACACACAGCTGGGAGTGAGCCTGGGCGCCCTTCTAGTGGGGCTGCCCGCCACCCTGTGAGTGAGCCAGCCCAGCCCGAGCCCAGCCCACACTGCTGACCCACAGAAGCAGGGACCACTGAGTTTTTGTTAGTAATGCAGCAAAGACTGCTACAGCCTAGTTCCTGACAGAGAGAAATTTCCTCCCCTCCTCTGGGGCAAATTTTCCTTAATCACAGTCATTAAACCTAACGGCCCAACAGACACACCCCAACTCACAAAGACATCACCCAGGAAGCTTCGTGTCTTGCTCAGTAAAATCCAGTGTGGATCTGGCGGTCCTCCTCCTCTGTCTTGTAGCGAGGGGAACTGTGGCCTCAAGGTGCCTGCGAGAGGGGTGTAAGTTCACCGGCTCTCAATGGCCTCAGCCCAGAAGGGCTATGCACACACACTATTCATTGGTTGGAACTGATCACGTGACTGGGGGGCAGTAGGGGAGCACCTGGAATATTTGATGACTCCCACCTTAGCAACAAAGAACTTGTTACCACAGAGGTAATTAGTTTTTCTCTCTCTCTTTTTTCAAGATTTTATTTATTTCATTGAGAGACCGAGCATGGGGGAGGGGGGCGGAGAGAGGGAGAAGCAGACCCCCTGTTGAGCAGGGAGCCGGACCGGACCACGTGGGACCAGATCCCACGACTGAGATCGTGACCTGAGCAGAGTGTAGCCACTTAACCAACTGAGCCACCCAGGTGCCCCTGGTTATTAGCTTCTTAATGGGTGCTTACCTGTTTAACATCTGGCTTCTCTATTAGGCTGAGTCCTTGAGCGGAGGGACGTTTGCGTCCATCTGGCTCCATGCCTGGCCCATAGCCTCCGTTCATAGTAGTGGTTGAATTGCGAAAGCGAATAATAATGGGGCAGGCCACAATATTATCTTTTGTGTTTAGCTCCAAGTTATAGAGAAAAACCTCAATTAAATTTCTAATGGTCCCGGGCGTCTGGGTGGCTCAGTGGGTTAAGCCTCTGCCTGGCCCAGGTCATGGTCTCAGGGTCCTGGAATAGAGCTCTGCACCGGGCTCACTGCTCAGCAAAGAGCTTGCTTCCCCTCCCTCCCGCCCCACTCAGCCCCCGCCTGCCTCTCTGCCTACTTGTGATCTCTCTCTCTGTGTCAAATAAATAAATAAATAAATACAATTTTTAAAAAATTTTTTCCTGTAGTCCCTCATTTGCAATAATATGCGTGTATCCCAGTTGATATTGTAAAACGTTTACAATGATCATTATGTGAATATAACCAGAACATGAAAGTCTTCACTGACTGAATCCAGGGTGTGGCCACATGCATTACTTGGTGGGAGTGGATTTGAATTTTTCTGTGCCAGTTCTCATGTGGCTGCCTCTGAGCCACATTGTCAAACGTTCCTGCTTCACGGGGTCCCTGGGTGACTCAGTCGGTTAATCATCTGCCTTCGGCTCAGGTCATCATCTCAGGGTCCTGGGATTGGGCCCTGAATCAGGCTCCCTGCTCAGCGGGGAGTCTATTTCTCCCTCTCCCCCTACCCCTTTGCTTGTGCTCTCACTCTCACTCTCAAATAAATAAATAAAATCTTTAAAAAAAAAGTTCTTGCTTCAAGGCAAAAGTGGGTGAGTCTTTTTCTTTGTTGTGTGGTCTTGGCTGAGTCTTCTGCTCTCTAATCTAAACCACATTTTTCTTACCTGTAAGATGACAAGCACATTCCTCTTAAAGAGTTGCGTGAGAATCAAACAAGTCCGCCATGTAATGTAGATAAAAAGTTAGCAGAGTACCTGCCACTGGGCACCCCCATTTTATATGAGTTTGTGTCCCTTCCCCTCACTCCACTGGTACCAGAGAGGACACTCAGTGAGGGAACTGGGACTGTTCATTTGCGTGGTTCCAACTGTCCTTTGGAAGCCGGGAAAGAAGCAAGCTTGGGACCCTGTCCACGGCAATCCTGGCTGCAGAGAGAGGAAGCTGACTTGTCTATCAGTTAGCTTTTGCTGTGTAACAAAACACCCTAAAACTCAGTGGCTTAAAACAAAGATCTCTTGGGGCGCCTGGGTGGCTCAGTGGGTTAAAGCCTCTGCCTTCGGCTCAGGTCATGATCCCAGGGTCCTGGGATCGAGCCCTCCATCAGGCTCTCTGCTCAGCAGGGAGCCTGCTTCCTCCTCTTTCTCTCTGCCTGCCTCTCTGCCTACTTGTGATCTGTCAAATAAATAAATAAAATCTTAAAAAAAAAAAAAGATGTCTTTATTTAGTTCACAAACCTGTGGCAAGTTTTCTGGTCTTGGCCAGCCTGACTGATCCGTCCATTTGCAGGCTGGTGGCTGGACAGTCTCCCTCACCTGTCTGCAGCCAGCCATAACCTTAACCGGCACACCTCGGTTCTCCTCATGCTTTCTCCCATTACCTCCTCCCAGAATTTGACTTTGCTAAGGTGACGCTCCCCCTCCCACATGAAGCAGGAGCCTCAGGGAGGCTGTACCCACTCATGGTTAATTCGGGTACCCTCATTTCCCTGCTGGTGATTGGTCAAGAAAGGACATGTGACTCAGCCCTGGCCAAGGAAATCTGTGCAAATGTCCGCTAGGAGGGCTTCTAGGAAAGTTCCCCATCCCAAGAAAGAGTTCTGGGGGTGATAGTAACAGTTAACCTTTATTGAGGGTTTAAGTGCTTTCCAGGAAATAACTCATTCAGCTCTCGTGAGTTGGTGGGCACTGTTGCCCTCATTATACAGAAGGGTAAGCTGAGGTATACAACAGAGCAGTTAAGACACTTGAGGGTCAGCTAGTGAGTGGACTTAATTCCAGGCAGCCTGACTCCAGAGGACTGAGTCCTCCAGGGCTACAATGTCCACCCCCTCCCCACCCCTCCCCCCGCCGCTTTCTCTGGTCACTGGGACAGCTGTGGTCATTGTGTCTGTGGTCACGGGACAGCTGTGGCCATTGTGTCCGTAGTCACCAGGGACAACAGCAGAGAGAGAATGAGCCCGGGGAGCCAGTCCTTGCTGACAGCTCTGAGAGAATCAGCCAGCCCCTCTTGACTTCTTGCTTTGTGTGAAATTTCCTTCTTTCCACTCTGGCCCAGGGTTTCAGTTACTTGCAGCCAAAAAGTACCCTAACAGAGACACCAGTGCCTCCAGAAGGAACAGAGGACATGCGCAAAACCCGCTGGACTGCAGGAAATCTGTTCTCACACACCACAAGCCTCTGGCCTCACCGCGGGGTAAGGAAAACTGGTAAGAGATGGGGAGGAGAGGCTCAAACAAATGTCCAGCAGACATTAAAATATCTCATAACTCCTTTATTAGGCAAAAGGTAAAAATATATTCTTATGGCATCCAAAACCCATAGTGTTGATCCAAAACCCAGAATAGGGCTTGAGACTTGCCAGGAGGAAGACCCTGCCTCCTCCGACCCCAAACTCTGGTGCTCGGCCAGAGGTGGACAGACATGGACCCTCATTCCAAAGCACTCCTTGAGTTAGATGAGGACCAGCCGCACAGTTTGAATTAGTGAGCCTCCAGCCCGAATCCTGGGCTCGGGCCTGGATGGAGAAGGCAGAGCTGCTGGGAGCACAGATCCCACCATGGCTTTGGGTCTGGAGTCCTGAGTTGTGAGGGAGAGGCCTGGAGCCTTTGGCACTGCAATTTGTGAGAGGGACTGTCCCAGGTCAGAAGGGCCTAGGCACCAGCTCAAGTGGGTGCTGACACCTGTATGGAGAGGGCCCCGTGTGGACACTGACCTGTGGGCGTGGAGAAGTGTGGGGAGCTCTGGGAGCAAGAGTTTGCCTTTCGTTCACTGCTGTGTTCCCAGCACCTAGAACAGGGTTTGGCACACAGTGAACTCCCAAGAATGATGTGTTAAATGCACGGGCCTGTGTGCGCAGGTATGAGGAACCACACAGGTGTGCGTACAGCAGAGTCCACACATGCCTCTTCCCTTCTCTCTTCTAGAAGGCACTAAGGTTTGGCTCAGTGCAAAAAAGGCAGGAGAGACCTTGGAGACACTCCAAACTCGGTCCACTGTTTGCGGCTGAGAGTCTAAGGCTACCTAGACATACAGACCCACTTCTCCTCCTCCCTCCTCTTCCTCAGCCTCCTCCAACCCCGGCCCTTCGGGGACCACCTGGTCAGCCTCCCAGAGGCGGGATCGGGATGGAGCTAAGGGGATCGGGTTCTCCCGCAGCCAGGGGTGCAGCAGGATGCCCGTGGCTGTGAGCCGCTCCGCCGGCTCCCGTCGAAGGAGGCAGCGGACCAGGCAGCGGGCAGCAGCGGAGAGGCCCTGCGGCAGGGCAAAGGCACCGCGGCGGATCTTGCCAAAGAGCAGGACAGGCTCTGAGTCCTGGAAGGGGTAGTGGCCAGCCAGCATGGTGAAGAGCGCCACGCCCAGGCTCCACACGTCGGCGGCCTTGCCCGAGTAGCAGGCCTTGGAGCTGAGGATCTCCGGTCCCACGTAGGCTGGACACGCGTGCTTGTCCCATAGGGAGTCGTCGGGTCCGGTCAGCACACAGGCGTCCTCCAGGTTCTCCAGCACCAGCTTTGTCCTGTGTCAGGGGGAGAGAGACAGAGGGGTCAGCTCCCATGGGGAACCCCATGCCACCCCTGCACACTCTCACCCTTAATGGCACCCACTTCCTGAGAGCCTGCCGCATGGCAGACCTGAGCCTGTCCTGTGAGACGGGTTGGTTGATGGCATTTTACACACGAGGAGGCCCAGGTTCAGAGATGTTGAGTCATTTCTCAAGGCCACAGAGCAATTGAGTGTGAACTAGGATTTTGAGAAGAGCACATTTCCCAACAGCCCCTCGGGGAGGGGGCTGAGGGGGCCAAGGCCACTGAGCCTCTTTTAAACCAGAGGCAAACTTAGGGTCCAGGCAGGTAATAAAGTGAGAGAAATCAGAAGTGGGGACCACGCCAAACACCTCAGCACAAACCCTGTCTAAAAAAGGCACCACTAACAACATTACCGTCAATGTTCTGGAGCGTTCATGGGGAACCTGACCCAGAGCTAAGCTCATTACCTGGTCCATCTCATTTCATCCTCACACAACCTGTGAGGAAGACGCCATTTAGAGCCACGGGGCACAGGGCTGGAAATGTGAACCCCAGCTCTCACCCACCCAGAGCCACTGCTATGAACCACTCACCATTCCCAAGGGGGTCCCGTGTTCCCGTTTTTCCCCAAAAGAAGCCAGAAATCATGTCAATGAAAAATCCCAATTTTTGAAGTGTCGGCAGCCAATCTCAATTAAAAACAAATGAACAGGGACGCCTGGGTGGCTCAGTTGGTTGGACGACTGCCTTCGGCTCGGGTTATGACCCTGGAGTTCCGGGATCGAGTCCCACATCGGGCTCCCAGCTCCAAGGGGAGTCTGCTTCTCCCTCTGACCTTCTCCTTGCTCATGCTCTCTCTCACTGTCTCTCTCTCAAATAAATAAATAAAATCTTAAAAAAAAAATGAACATGTATGTGGTGCAAAGAAAAAAAAAGTGTGTGTAGCCAGCCATTTGCAACTTCCGCCTTAAACAATTCCCACAGAACATTCTACGTTACTCAAGTATAACCATTCTGCTACCAATGCCATTTTTTTTTTATTACCGCTGCTATTAAGATTATCCTATGACACCACTTTCTGGGTGCCTGCTGGCATTTGAAAAAAATCAAGGTTCAGGCAGGTAAAAGCCATTGATCAAGGTCAAAGAGCAGGTAGTAAGAAGAACCAAAATTCGAAGCCAGGTCTGTCTCCACCAGCCCTCTTCTACAAACATTCTACAACGAGTGCTTCTCAAACTGCTTTAAAAAGACAAGGAAGCACTTTCTCACCTTGGGAGGTCTGTGGGTGATGCTACTCAGCCTAGGTAAAAAATTATTTGAAGGGGCACCTGGGTGGCTCAGTCGGTTAAAGCCTCTGCCTTGGGCTCAGGTCGTGATCCCAGGGTCCTGGGATCAAGCCCCGCATCGGGCTCTCTGCTCAGTGGGGAGCCTGCTTCCCTTCCTCTCTCTCTGCCTGCCTCTCTGTCTACTTGTAATCTGTCTGTCAAATAAATAAATAAATAAAATTTAAAAAAAATTATTTGAAGCTGCGTATTAGCTTAAACATCATTATAAAATTTATATTCTACTTCTTACTAAAGGCATGTTCATTTTCATATAAAATGTAGAAGGAGAGAAGGAACTAGAAAAATCACTCTGAGGTCAGCATCACAATAGTAACTGCTAGGGGCAAGGCAAAGGCCCAACGAAAATGCTCGGGCAAGTTTGAGGAGAAACCGTATTTTCACGCATAGCCTCAAAGTACATATATATGTATGTGTGTTTAAAGACTTTATTTTATTTTTATTTTAGAAGGAGCACTAGCAGGGAGAGGGGCACAGGAGGGGGAGAGAAGCAGACACCCCGCTGAATGCGGAGCCTGACACGGGGTTCAATCTCATCACCCTGAGATCATGACCTGAGCAGAAATCAAGAGTTGGAGGCTTAACCGACTGAGCCACCCAGGTGCTGCCCCCCTACCAACACACACAAGGTATTTATTAACTAGAAAGGGTAAATTAGGAACCATACAGTGGAGAAACTTGGCAGACACCATCTTAACCAAATAACTGGGGTTAACATCACCTGTCTCCTGACACGGTGTGCTGAGAAGAGCCTATCATTCTTGTGGTACTCTTTTTTTTTAATTAATATTTTATTTATTTATTTGAGAGATAGAGCGTGCACATGCATGTGTGAGTTGGGAGAGAGGGAGAGAGAATCTCAAGTAGACTCAGCACTGCATGCAGAGCCCTACATGGGGCTCCACGCACGGCTCCATCTCAAGACCCCAAGATCAGGACCCGAGCCAAAACCAAGAGTCAGACACCCAACTGACTGAGTCACCCAGAAAGCCTTCCTGATGATACTGTTGCCCAAAATGCACATCAATCTCACCATGAGAAAAACATCCATCACATCCAAGTTGAGGGGCAATGCCTAAAATAACTGACTAGTGCTCTTCCAAAGTGTCAAAGTCAAGGAGGACAAGGAAAGACTAAGGGAAGGTTTCAGACTGGAGGAGACTAAGGAGACGGGACAACTGAACATAGGCCGGGGTCCTAGATTGGATCCTGGCGAGAAAACTGGTATTAGTGGGAAGCTAGTGAAATCACAATCAATCCATGATTTAGTGAATAGTACTGGACCAAGATTAATTTCTTAGTTTTTTGGTGTTTTGTTTTGTTTTGTTTTGAGAAAAAAAAGGAGGGAGGGAGGGAGATGAGAAAGAGAGAGAGAGAAAGCAGAGAAGGAGAAAAAATCTTAAGCAGGCAGGGCTCCATCTCACGACCCTGAGATCATGACCTGAGAAACCAAGAGTCGGACGCTTAACCGACTGAGCCACCTAGGAGCCCTGTTGTTTTAGTTTTGATACTTGTTCTGTGCCTATGTGAGAAGTTAACAGTAAGGGAAGTAGGTGAAAGAGATATGGTAACCTGCCCTATTCTTGGAAGTTCTCTCTCTCTTTTTTTTTTTAAGGATTATTTATTTATTTATTTGACAGAGAGAGAGAGAGATCACAAGTAGGCAGAGAGGCAGGCAGAGAAAAAAGGGGAAGCAGGCTCCCTTCTGAGCAGAGAAACCTGATGTGGGGCTCAATCCCAGGACCCTGAGATCACGACCTGAGCTGAAGGTAGAGGCTTCACCCACTGAGCTACCCAGGTGCCAATTTTTGGAACTTTTCTGAAAATCTAAAAGTATTTCAAAAAGTTTAAGATGCCCAGCGGGAGGTGGGCACCTGGCTGGCTCAGTTGGAAAAGCATGAGACTCTTGATCTTGGGGTCATGAGTTTGATTCCCCATGTTGGGTGTAGAGATTATTTAAAAAAATAATAAGACAATATGTGCAACGAGGTCGCCCTCCTTCTCCCAACACACACACACACACACACACACACACACATCATGCCACGTAATCCATGCCCCTGATGGCTGTTCATGTGGACCTGACTGCCTGGCCGTGCTCCCCGACACACTCTGCTCACCCCCCAGGAGTCTGGAGGAGGAGAAAGCATGCCAGGTCCCCCTCTGTTCCCTCCCTCCCAGATCACGGATTCCGTTTCACAGGCAAGTTCCCATGAGAGGAACCTCAGGGCCCCTTGTGGCTTGTTGTCTGTGGCCCTGGTTTCCTGGAAACATCATCACAGTCCAGGCCTTTCCCCCACCAGTGGGAAAACTGAGGTCCAGAGACCCTGAGTCATCCAGAGTCAGCAGCTATGGGCAGTCAGGCCTCCTGCCTCTCAAGCTCAGGGTCACATCTGGATTTGAGTCCCAGCTGTACTATCGATTTCACTGTGGAATCTTGGGGGTAACTTGACTTCTCTGGGCCTGTTTCCTCCCCCCTGCCTATGGGAACAAGCACAGTGCCCACCTCATCTTTGTAAGCCCCCCACGGAGTCAGACAGCACAGCCAAGCTCTTCATCACTGTTGTCTATTATGACTGTCACAGACGCAGTGCCGCAGCCCAGGGGGCTTTCATTCGCCCTGAGCCAAGCTTTTCCCGGGAACCAGGCCGAGGAGCCAGTAGGGGCTTCTCCATTTCTTTGTGTAAGTTCCTTTGACTTCGTGGGCCTCACTTTCCCCAACATGGCCCATCTCTTAGGTACGTCCGTGAGGAGGGTCTCCTGGACCACACTCACCTCTCGTGGTCGGTGAAGACAAAGCGCCGCAGCTTGAGATCGCGCAGGACCAGCCCGTGCTGGTGACAGTGAGCCAGGGCGGCCGCCATCTGGCGGAAGAGCGCGGCCGCTTCGGGCTCCGGGAGGCGGTGGCGGCGGCGCACTAGGCTGTGCATGTCCCCGTGGGGCCGCCGGAAGAAGGTGTACAAGTGGCGGGGACCTGCCAGGACGTCGGTGGGCCGGGCCACGTGTCCTCGAGGGGGCAGCCGCCAGTAGGGCTCCAGCACCGCTGTGGCCTCGCGGACCGGGTACACCTGTGGGTGGGTGGGGGGCTTGGCATGAGCACAGGTGCCAACGGGGGTGGCGGTGGGGGGTGCTGGCCGGCCTGGGAAACAGAGCCAAGCGTTTAGGCAGTACTGTGTGCTAGGCGCTGGGCTGGGTGCTCCAGCAGCAAGCAGCCTCCCCCCCTGCCCCCACCCCGGCGGATCAGTCGTTGGACGTCTGCCTTTGGCCCAGGTCACAATCCCAGCGTCCTGGGTTGGAGCCGCATGTAGGGTTCCCTGTTCAGCAAGAAGTCTGCTTCTCCCTCTCCCACTCCCCCTGCTTGTGTTCCCTCTCTCCCTCTCTCTCTCTCTCTGTCAATAAATAAATAAAATCTTGGGGGGAAAAAAAAGGAAGGGGGCACCTAGTTGAAAAAGGTCTAAACTCCATACTGGGAAAGTGACCTTAATGATTCAGAGATGTCCATGCGGTAAGCTTTCCAGGTGGGGGACAGAGGCAGTGCAAAGGCCCTGAGGCAAGAAAGAGCTTGAATTGCTTGAGAAAAAACCGGCCCCAGATCAGTTCAGCTGAAGCAGGGAGGGAAGAGGGGCAGTGGTGCCAGTGGCGAGGTTGTCGGAAAATGTGCTAGGGGCTGTATGGACATCAGATGGGAGCCTCGCGGCAGCCCTGAAAACTGTGTTCTGTTTTTCTGCTGGTTTAGATTGCTGTTCAGAGAAGCAAGGGCACTTGGAGCCAATACAGCTGAACAGAGGCAGAGCTGGAAGACTCACTCACTCTGTCTGCTTTTAACCCTTCCCCTGTTATGTTGGCTCTGCCACACAGAAAATAAACCAATAAAGCACATACATGTTTAATTCATGGAAAAACATGTAAGCATGTCTTAACACACAGTTAGGTGGCATGGAAGAAAGAATCCAAAAAAACAAAGACTACTTTTTTTTTTTAAAGTTAGGACAAGCACGTTCCTGCCTCTGTACATCTGCACTTACCTTTTCTGCTTCCTGGATGCTCTTGCCTAGATACCCACAGGGCCGGCTCCCCCAGCTCACACAAGTCACTGCTCACATGTCACCTCCTTGGAGAGTCCTTCCTGGGCTCTGCTGCTCACCTGCTCCCCCATGGTCCCTGTCCCCCTCTCTCCTAGCTCCTGGCTTTCCCTTTTTTAGGATCACCTGGCTCAGGATCAGCCTTTCCTTGTGCTGTATTTTACTTATTCCCTTGTTTCCTGCCCATGTCCTCCACTAGAGCATCAGCCTGATGACAACAGAACTCTATCTTGGAACCACAGCCTGGTGTACGGCGCGTAGTGTGCTCAATGAACATTTGTTGAATGAATGAATGAATGAATGAATAGGTGATAATCTACAGACAGGACAGTGATCCTTCCACGCACCGAGCAGAGAAGGCGATGTGAAAATGGCAGCCCCAAGGCTCCCGCTAGCATGGGGATAAGCACGTGCCAGGAGACACCCCCCTAAATGTTTCTGAGTAACTGGGGCCATGAGAAAGCATGGTGCTTCTGGCTTGAGCCTGCTTTGGTCATGGATTCCCCTACCCAGTAGGAACAGAAGAAAACCTGTAATGTTGCAGGAAAAGGAGCCAGAGTTCAGGGGTTCCTTAAAGCACCTGGGGCAGAGCACTGGGTACCTTCAGGGGGCAGCCCAGAGCCCAGGTAAAGCTGATGGCTGGACCATAGGTCTGCCTCTACCCCCGTGCCCACTGCACCCCTCCTACCCAGCAGAAGCCAGTTGCCACTGCTCCCGGGAGGAGGCTTCGGTCCACCTGCTTCTCTGTGCATTCCTAAAGGGACCCAGGCCCTCTTCTTCCCATCTCCTGTGTAGCTGGGTCTCCTGTATCTTCCTTGCCCTGCCCACCAGGAGCAAAGCCACCCTGCTGTGTCTGAAACCCATGTCCTAGCAAGGGGCCACAGCCCTGGGCTCAGTCTCACCTCTGACACCCCCTGGCTCTGTGACCACAGTTTTATGAGCCTCAGTATCCTCTATCTGCAAAATGGGCCAACAATAGTAACTACCTCACGGACTGTGTGAAGACTGGAAGAGATTACACACACTAAGCCATCAACGTAGTACCCAGTGCACAGTGAATACCTATTATTGTAGTTCTTCACTACTGTCTTTTTAGGCTACGACCTGCCAGTGTCCCGTGGGCCTGACCCTGCCCATTTCCTGATTTCTGCCAAGAACCCTGGCCTTCACCTTAGGAGCCAGGCCCAATACAATGAGTTTTCATGCTTGGCCCTTCCTTCTTGACCCCAGTCTTCCCATCTATGAAATGGTCACAGGCTAGGCCCAATGACCTCCAGGTCCTTCCCTTCTGGGAAGGAGTTCTGATGTCTACCCGATCTTATCCTTCCCATGTGCAAATATCTTCAGCACCCCCTAACCTCCCCCCAGCCCAGTGTGAGCTCCTTTCTTATGCTTTCACAACCCGTGGCCGGCAGCCCTCATCTCCTGCCCCTCTCCACTCTGGCCATGGTGAAGTCGTTTGAACTCCACGATGGCTCGCTTGCTCCTGCTCCTCTAGGCCCCTGCACGGATCTCCATTCTCTCACTTCTTCTTTTTTTTTTTAAAGATTTTATTTATTTATTTGACAGAGAGATCACAAGTAGGCAGAGAGGCAGGCAGAGAGAGAGGAGGAAGCAGGCTCCCCGCTGAGCAGAGAGCCCGATGCAAGGCTCGATCCCAGGACCCTGAGATCATGACCCGAGCCAAAGGCAGCAGCTCAACCCACTGAGCCACCCAGGCGCCCCTGCTCAGCCTTTTCTGACATCCCCCTCGGACACACTGGAGGCTCCCGCTCTGTGCTCCCACAGTCCCTAAACTCCACCCCTCTGGCATGTATCATACTATGGGCCTATACTGTGCATTCCCTAGGGCTGGGCATGTCAGGTTTAGCCCTCTGGTCTCACCCCAGGCCAGGCCTGACACAGGGCTGGGGGCTCACTGGCTGCTTCCCCAATAAACACAGGAACAATGTAACCCAAAGGACGCCTCCTCCCTGACAATCCTCTGGAGCAAAGGCCCTTTCTAGGCCCCTGTGATGCCAGGGGTGGGGTGGAGAGTGACTCCAGAAAACCTACCTTGCAGGTGTACTCAGTGCCAGTGGGGCAGTGCAGGGCATAGTAGGCCCGGCCGCCTTCCTCAGGCTCCAGGAGGACATAGGGCCCAAGCCGGGAGGCAGTGGTCACAGCGAGAGCTCGGGCTGGAGCAGGGGGTGGGCTCAGAGGCAGCAGGCAGGGAGGCAGCCGGGGCTGGGGCCCCCTTCGAGCTTGTTTGCGGGTGGGACTCTCTGTGCCTGGGTCTTTGTCCAACTCCAACCGCTTTCTCCTGGAGGGGGCGCCCGAAGGAGCTGCCAGAGGGGTGGCTCGCATCTACAAAGAAGGGCAAAAAGCACTGAAGGGAGGCTGTTCAGTGGCCCCCCTCTTCCATCGCTGTTACACAGGGGCACTTGGCAGTCTGCACTGAACTGACAAATGTACATACCCTTAACTGGTGTCCCACTTCTGGGAATTTCTCCTCCCATTAAAATGCTCACCAAAATCTTAAACACATGAAGGGCTGTTCAGAAGAGCCTTGTATCTAATAGCAAAAGGCAGGAAACACCCCCCAAATAGCCAGCAGCAGGGGGCTGGTTAAACATCATGGACTACCGCACATGGGCTGCCTCAGGAGGGAGACCCCCACACTGAATGAAAGGCCATAATCCCAGTGCGGTAAGGATGAAACAGCAGGTGACTGTAGACAGATATGCCTGGGTTCTAGTCCTCGCTCACATCTTTCCTGGCTGGGTAGCCCTGGGTAAGTCCTGCAGTCTCCCCCAGTCTCAGCCCCTAATCCGTCAAGTGGGAGCAGCATGCCAAACCCATAGGATTTTTACAACGATGAAACGAAAACACAAATAATTCAGAGTGACCCTGTTGTGGGGGGTGGGGTCCGAAAATGGTCACCACCGTTGGTCCATTGCTACCACTATTCACAGCCAAAGGTGCTGCAGTGCTCTTCTGGGGACTGTCCCTGGGGTGGCTCTCCCCCGGCCATGGCAGCACTCCAGGCTACTTTTGTATCCAGGTCTCAGAGGCTGGTAGGGCCTGGAATAAGCTCCAGCGGCAGGTGGACTAACTGAGCAAGGGACTTCGCAGGCCACACTGCCGGGACTAGAATCTCCGCTGTAGGTTGGAGGTAGCCCTTCATATCTACTTCTCGCCCTTTCCGGGGCAGGTCATACCAAACACACACTCACAGAACCCAGAGCAGACAGGTGCGCACACACCCCTCAAAACCCCAGTTTGTCCCAGTCAGCTAGCTGAGACACCAACCTCAAGGGCAGAGATGGGCACGGCCTTCATCAAGTGACACACACCTCATCCTCCGTGGGCAAGTGTGCCAGGCATCCACACACATTGCTCTCACAACGATCACGCACCCCACTGCATGACTGATAACAGTAAGGTCACCAGCACGGTCTGACACGTGCCCCATCCCCCTCGGCGGCTTCGCCCCGCCTCCCCCAGCCAGGCTCCTCCCGTGGGAGCGGAAGCGGCGGGCGGCGGGCGGCGGGTGCCTGGAGGCAGAGGATTCCGCGGAAACAGAGCGGCGGGAGGGGGAGAAGCAAGGGAAGGAGGCTGGGTCGCAGGGCTGCGAGAAGGGGCGGGTGTGGACCCCCGCCCCGCACACCCCAGGGTCCGCAGGGACAAAACACACGCGCGCACAGTACAACCTGCGACCCGAAGCCACAGCGCCAGGTGCACACCTGCGGCCGGCGCTCCGTGCGCTCCGGGGGCCGGCACCTCGCGCGGGGCATCCTCGCTTCCACTCGCCCCGAACCGTCCCCAGGGCACCCCAGCCCGGCCCCAGCCGTGTCCCCCGCTCGGCCGACACCTGCCACCAAGTACGCAGCGCTCCCCACAGCTCGCACCGCCTGCCGACACACATCCCCCCACCCAGCCCCGCAGGCTCAGCCTACAGCGACACAGACCCTACAGAGTCCCCAGCACCGCACCGCCCCCCACAGGCCCCTCGCACACACGCGTCCCCCGCCCCACACTCACTGCCCGGGGCGACGCTCCCACACCTCTGTCCCCTCCTCCTTCCGCCCCTCGGATACCGCCACCACCTTCGCCAGGGCTCACCCTCCCACCCGCCAGCTCCCTGCCCCGGCCCCTCTCGCGCTCCGCTGGATACCTTGCCCGGGGCGTGCGGCAGGGTCCAGAGTCGCCGGGGCACTCCCACGTGGCCGAGACCCCGCTGCGAAGCGACCGAGCTCGGGACCCCGGCCCCCGGCAGCCGGACACGTGTGGAGCCGCCGGCGCTTCCGCGGCGAGTGTCTCCGGGCGCCAGCGACCGCTCCGGTCCCGGCCCGGGTGATGCAAACCTGTGCTAATCTGCGGCTGCCTGATGCGCTAGGGCCAGGGATTGCACCATCCCCCGGGCTCCGCCCCTGGGGTCACCGCCCTAGCGCGGCCCGCCCCGCCCCGCCCCTCTCGCCTCTCGGGTCCTCCAGCGGTGTCTGGGCTCAACCTCCTCCCTCACCAGGCCCGCGCAGACACCCCCTACTGGCTCTCCCGATCACCTTGGAAAGAGCAGTTTACTTTTCTGAGCCTCAGTTTCCCCGTATGTGAAATGGGAAGAATATCCTTCCCTCCGAGGATGCAGGGGAGAAAAAGAGCAAACCGTGACAGTTTCCGGGTGCTTTACTGTTTATAAACCGTTGCCTTATGAACTTTAGGAGGACCCTGGGCTATTAGGAAGCTCTGCTCACCAGTCCTACTAAGGGGTAGCCTGAGGCCGAACACTGGGAAAGCAGCCCAGGAGCTCTGCAAAGACTGCAGACTTAGGAGCTGACTCCAGCGCCAAAGAGCTGGCATGGTCGCCTGGGGAGGCCTGAGGTCGGGCAGACTTCAAAGCGTTCATTGGATAGAGGCAGTGCAGCCTCCCACCTTTGCACAGACGCAGTGGGCAACCTCAGGAAAGCTACTTCAAAGTCTCCTGGAGCTGAAGGTCCTGCTCTGTAAAATGGGCTTATAGGACTTCGTAAGAGGTTTGCTGGGACAAAATGCTTAGAACTATGTGGACATCCTAAGTGCTCAGTAAATAGAATGGAGGCTCAGAGAGGGGAAGGCATCCAAAACAGGGATTTTACCTCAAGCCTAGGAGGCCCTGGGGCCACTTGCTATTTGGTGAAGCATCCCTATGTAGCCCTAGGGGTCCGGCACCTTCCTGGGCAATCCCTTTTAGGTCTTCCTGTCTGACGGCACCAGAGTCCAGAAATAACTCCTTCAGGCAGAGGTTGGATGAGCCGTAGGTGGTTACCTTTGTTTCTCAGGTTCTGGAGCCCCAGGGACCAGCTCACCTGTGTTCACGACCTTCAGGGCTCACCAAGGTGTTCTGGGATCTCATTTAGCCCTGGAGACTCCCCTGCCAGGGAGGGACTAATGAACTTATTTTCCACACAAGGACATCTAGACTCAAGTGGAAAATCCCACAGGGATAAGGGACAAAGAAAGGTGGGGTTGGTTGTTTTCTGAACTTCTCTATGAAACCAGCACTGTGCTGGGTTTGCTCAGACATTTCTAACTTGGTTCATGCTGTGTCAGACCATGTTCTGAATGCTGGGGACTCGGCAGTGACAAGATTGACCCATCCCTGCCCTCTCAGGTCTCATAAATCAGTGGGAAGACAGACCATTATCAAGAAAATAAAATCAATAACCAAGATCTTTTAAAACTGATGTCATGGGGCACCTGGTGACTCAGTAGGTTAAAGCCTCTGCCTTTGGCTCAGGTCATGATCCCAGGGTCCCGGGATCCAGCCCCATGTCAGGCTCTCTGCTCAGTGGGGAGCCTGCTTCCCCCTCTCTCTGTCTGCCTCTCTGCCTACCTGTTATCTCTGTCAAGTAAATAAATAAAATCTTTAAAAAAATAAAACTAATGTCATGTATTTTCTTGAATAAAGAGATAGGATCGGGGCGCCTGGGTGGCTCAGTAGGTTAAAGCCTCTGCCTTTGGCTCAGGTCATGATCCCAGGGTCCTGGGATCGAGCCCCACATCGGGCTCTCTGCTCAGCGGGGATCCTGCTTTCCCCTCTCTCTCTCTCTGACTGCCTCTCTGCCTACTTGTGATCTCTGTCTATCAAATAAATAAATAAAATATTAAAAAAAAGAGATAGGATCAATTTGAATAGGATAGATTTGTCCTCTATCAGATATGACCGAGGAGTGTCTATTTTCATGAGGGCTTATCCAGAAGGTGATGTTTACACTAAGATCTTAAGGAAGAGACAGGTGAGATGTGCAAAGATCTGAGGGGACACAGGAAAAGTAAGTGCAAAGGCCCTGAGGCACTTAAGGAACCATGAGATAGGCACTATGACCTCTATTCTACAGATGAGTGAAAGTAAGGGGCTTACCCAAGAGCACCCAGCTTGTAGTATGAAGCAGATTTGAGATTTGCTGGGGCAGCTAACTCCAGTGGCCACACTGTCCAGGGACATTTTACAACTTTTGCAACCCAGCTGCCTTCACCTGGACTGGTGGATGAGGCTTCTGGAACTGTACCTAGGGTATAGCCCTCCGGGGTTGGGGGTGGGCTTTGTCACAGTTGAGGGTGTCAAATCCCAGTTCTCTAGACCAACAGAACATAAAATACAAGCCACATGTAGTTTCAAATTTTCTAGTCATGCATTAAAGAAGAACAAAAAGAAATTAAATTTTAAAAGATGTATTTATTTATTTGAGAGAGAGACACACAGCATGCATGCACACAAGGCGGGGAGGGGCAGAGGGAGAAGGAGCGAGAAAACGAGAGAATCTCAGGCTGACTCCCCGCTAAGTGTAGAGCCTGACAGGGAGCTCGATCTCACAACCCTGAGATCATGACCCGATCTGAAATCAATCATGGGACATTCAACCAACTGAGCTACCCAGGCACGCTGGATGAAATTAATTTTAATAATGTATTCTATTTAATCCAATATATCTAGCACACTATCATTTCAACAAATAATAAAAAAAATTATGAATGAGATATTCTAATTTTTTTTCTTACTAATGTTTTCAAAATCTGGTATTTTATACTTAGTTCAGAAAGAATTCAGCACGGGAGCTAAACTGTCAGTGCTTGAAGTGAAATGTTGTTCCACTAAAACAATTAAATTGTGTTTAATGGAAAAAAATGTTTCACCTGATTTAAAATTAAAAGTTCAATCACATGAAAAAATTCAGTTTCTTAGTCACACTACCATATTTTAAATGCTCCATGACTCTATGTAGTAAATGGCTACCAAATTGAATAGCACAGCCCTAGGCCAAGAATTCCTGGCACACGATCCAGGGAGGGTAGCAAAAAAGTGAAAGACCTGTTGGGTTTATAGCATAGATGCTAAATAGCCTTGAGCTTCAGTTTTATGCATCTATAAAATGGGATTAATTATACCCTTCCTTGCATTGTAGTCCTAAGGATTAAATGCATTAAATGCAGATCACAGTTCCTGGGTTTAAATCTTTCCACTTCCCAGTGATGTAAGTTCCTCAAGCTCTCTACACCTCAGTTTCCTCCTCTGTAGAATGGAGATAATAATAGTACCTAGTTCAATGGTTTGTCGTGAGGATCAAATGACTTCATATTGTGAAGTGCCTGGAATATAAATGCTACATAAATATTTGTTAAAAAGTAAGAAAAGAGGGGCGCCTGGGTGGCTCAGTGGGTTAAAGCCTCTGCCTTCAGCTCAGGTCATGATCTCAGGGTCCTGGGATTGAACCCCACATCGGGCTCTCTGCTCAGCAGGGAGCCTGCTTCCCTTCCTCTCTCTCTGCCTGCCTCTCTGCCTACTTGTGATCTCTCTCTCTGTCAAATAAATAAATAAAATCTTAAAAAAAAAAAGTAAGAAAAGAAATGGTGACCAACTCCCCTCCCCAAATGAATACAAAAATATGCACTTTCCTGGAGAGAGAAGTTGGCTTTTATGAATTTCCTTCTCTCCAGGCTTAGACATGGCACTACCCTGGTTTCTGAGCCCAACAGGCTGCGTTTCTATTGGCTAAGGTTCTGCCAGCTCTCAGCACTGCAGGAAGAGACTCAGGCTGTGCTCTGAGGGAGGAGAAGCATGGGTGTTGGAAGCAGCTGCTCGCCTCCTTCCTTTGCACCTGGCCTGGCTGGTACCTGCCACACGCCTGAGATTCCACCATTCATGTCCTTCATCTGTATAAGTCTCCACACACACACACACCCCGCCCCCACCAAGGGCGAGGGATCCTCTTCCCCAACAGAAGTTGAACAATTCCTTGGAAGGAACTGTGGTTGGATTCCAGGTCTGGCTAAAGCCATGGGTCCTGTGAGATGGTGGGCAGGTCATCTCCCCTTTGGGAGCCCTACTGTTCTCCCCTGTACAATAGGAACAAAGAGTTGGATTAAGTCAGTGTTTTCCAAAATATACAATGTACACCAATGGTAGGATGCCAGGTAGTATTAGGGTCTCAAGACTATTAAATAACATTGCATCAGATTGTGATATGGGTATTTTCTTCTGATTTTCTTCCTGTTCCTCCAGTTACTGAGGAGAAAGTCTCATTTAACAGCTCCTATGTCTTTTTTTTTTTTTTTTTAAAGATGTACTTATTTATTTGAGGGTGGGAGTAGGGACAGAGAGAAAGGGAGAGAGAGTCCCAAGCAGACTCCGTGGTGAGCCGGGAGCCCAATGCGGGGCTGAATCTCACAACCCCGAGATCAGGACCCTGAGCTCTCCAACTGAGCTGAAAACAAGGGGCACTCAACCCAGGGGCCCCGGCTTCTATGTGTTAAAGACACATAGAAGACACATCTCTCCAGGGAGAGAGAGCAGGGTCAGAGCCTTCAGCAAGTGACAGGATTTAACTAAAATCTAAGAATCTTGTTTTGGGGGTGCCTGGGTGGCTCAGTGGGTTAAAACCTCAGCCTTCAGCTCTGGTCATGATCCCAGGGTTCTGGGATCGAGCCCCACGTCGGGCTCTCTACTCCGCAGAGAACCTGCTTCCTTCTCTCCCTGCCTGCCTCCCTGACTACTTGTGATCTCTGTCAAATAAATAAATAAAATCTTTAAAAAAAAAAAAAGAATCTTGTTTTGCTGTTCTTGCATTCAATTATTTTATTTATTTATTTATTTATTTATTTATTTTTGAGAGAGAGGGGAGGGGGAGGGACAGAGAGGGAGGGAGAGCATCTCCAGTAGGCTCCATGCTCCACGTAAAGCCCAATATGAGGCTCGATCTCAGGACCCTGAGATCATGATCTAGCCAAAATCAAGAGTCAGTCAAACGACTGAGCCACCCAGGTGCCTCCTTGCATTCAATTTTAGGGTCACTTCCT